GCCTGGCCTAAGCCAAGCCTGAGGAAGGAAGAACACTTGTTTAACGCCCAAATCACTCACTATAAATCTGTGCTAACTGACAATAAATTAAACAAAAATGCCTCAAGTGAAGACTGTTTTGCTCATTAAACCCTCTATACATGGGCAGGTCACAGACCCTCCAAAGCAGCTTCATCCCTGTAGCATCCTGGTCTCTACAGAAAATACACTTCATAGCACCGCTCTCCAGGAACACCTCTGCTCCATCCGCTGGCTCCAACCAGCCCAATCCGAGGGCAACTGGTGGCAAATCTCATGCTTAGCCTTTGTGATCAACAAGATGACAAGCAGTTCAAGTAAGGCTATGAAAGGAAAGGGGAGGACAAAATGATGGGCACAAAACGGGAAGAATTAGAAAGGCTGTAAGCAGGGTAAGGGCTAGAGACAGGTCCACACTGGCCACCCACGCTTCAGCCTTCAGGCCTGCCGCAGAGAAGCTGCTGCCAGGGTCTGGGATTTACGCACCGGCAGCCGTCGCACGGCTGTTTTGTACATTGCCGGGAGCAAGGACTCGCTTCCAGGCAAAGCCAACGCCAGATTTCACAGGTTGCGACATCCAAAAAAACCCCACAAGCCCATGTTTGGTGTGCAGAGGGTCAGACCTCTCCCTCTGAATCAGCTCCAGGGGCTACTGCAGATCCTCTTTACTACCAGACCCTCGCAGGAGCCACATCTGGTGCAGACACATGGAATGTTGGTCTCGGTCCTTGGCTCAACGCTGCAACACCAACGAGCCAATTCCATCCCACCCACTGTCCTCCCCTTCCCCCCTGATGGGAGAAACCCAGCCTTGAGTCTTGGGAGCTGACAGAGGTTTCTTCTTCAGCTCTTCCTCTTCCCAAGCCAAAGGAGGAAGAAGCAGCCTTGCCACTCGCGTCCATGTGCTGCTCACTGAGCAGACTGTTTCCCACAGTGAGCTGAAGCTGGGGAGATGGCTGAGCTCACCAGGGCTGCTCTCCCCACACCATCACCCCTGAAGTCAGCTTTCCAGGACATGATAACTGCTGAGGAACCCTCTTCTCAGGCACTGCAACTGGATGAGATATGGCCTGGTGAGGGAGGAAGAGGGGAAAATCCCTTATGTGGTTGTCATTGATCCTGCAAATTTGGACTCTGAATAATTCAAAGCTTAAGCAAGGAAATCCTTTCAGCACTCCCGGACCCAGATCCCACAGTTCTTGGGACATCAGCTGTGGGGCTGCACCAGGTCCCACCATAACCTAGCCCTTGCCGACTGTGGAGAAGGAAGGGGGAGGACGGCAAGGCTGTGGAGGAAGGCAGGAGGTGGATGCGAAGTGGATGACACTGAGCCTTGCCTCACATACCAGAGGCAGAGGGAGAAGGGAGTTCTCATTCAGTGAGACAGTAAACCCAGCAAAGGCAAAGCAGCCTGGCATCCCTGGAAAGCCACAGTGTGACTCCGGCCCCCTGAGAAGGCAGGGCGCTGCGGGAGGTCTGGGGGAGCAAGATCGATCCCCAGCACTTCCCTCCTCCATCCCTCTGCTGACCCCTTGCCTACCCCGACCCCTTCCACGCTCCCTCCTCCCCTCTCCCAGCGGCCCACCCCCCCAGGCTCCCTCCCCTGCCTCTCCCTTGCCCTTCATCCCAGAGCCCTCCCATCATGCCAGGTTAATTTGAGTTCCTGATTTGCATAGGCAGGAGATCGCAATGTTCTGGAAATCCCCTCCTGTGGCCGGAGCTTCCTCCTCGCTCTCACAGCGTCACTCGCGGCCTCCTGCTTCCCTTCACTGACAGAGCACCAGGACGCGTTTGATTAGCGCGGCACAAGCAGAAGCCCCCAGCGAAACCCACTGTTGATGCCAAGAGGCACCCATCGACAGCACCCCGCAGCACCCCTGCAGAGCTAAGCCCACGAGCAGCTCTGGGGTGCCGTGTCAAACTGGCTGCACCCATCGCCTGCTCTGCAGCTGCCCCTCTGCTCCCGCCTTGCTCCGGGGCCAGCCCCCCGGCACGGCCACCCGTGACAGCCAGGCCCTGGCTGGCCCCATCAGGGTTCAAATGCGCTCCGTCCACCCAGCAGTAACGGAGGGCAGGTGGGTGCCTGGGTCTGCTGGGCCACTTCCACTTGGGATTCGCAACACTGGACATGCACAGGGCTGACCGTGCTCATCCTTGAGTGGGGTCAACCCAACCGCAGCTAGACCTGATCCAAAACAAGCAGGGGCAGATGGAAGGAGAGCTCCGCAACCCCCACCCATGGCCTTGTGCTCCTTCTTGTCCCGTTTCCCACAGCACGGCCACAAATACAGAAGCAATCACAGTGCCTTCACGTGAACAAGCCTCCACTGAAGGTGCTGAACCCAACCCTTTGTGCCAAAAAAACCCCTAGTATGTAAAAGTTTCAGCTATAAACACATCTTCACAGCCACGCAGGCATGCTCATGAATCACAGCTGCCGTCAGGTGAGTTTTCTCCCCTGAGAGCACAGCGGGACCGAAGGAATGAGGAAGGACCGATAGCCTTTGGTTTTCATAGTGAAATTTGTTCCAGCATTTGGACCAGCCCAAGCAAGCAACCTCAGGTGGAAACACAAAGAACAGCTGGCTAGAGCGGTGGAGAGGCAGTGACCACCTCCACGGGTACCTGGGCTGCTGCAGGCAGGCCCCAGACCCCACGGCTCCTCACCCCTCCTGCCAAGCACCCATGCTTCAACTCCCCAAACCAGCTGGACGGGCACTTTTCAGGCCTCACAGCTCACGCCTGGCAAGTGTAGAAAAAACACCTTGACAGGTCAATTTTGTGCCTGCTGGGGATGAGCTGGGGAGCTAGCACCAGCCTCTGTAAAATAGAAACACTTTAATCCTTGGTGTTTACTCCAGCACCATCTGGCCTCATGCTGGTTCTGATCATCAGTTATCTTGGTGGATGGTTTCCAGGGACTACCTGCAACCCTGGCACACCATCACCTCTCCAGCTCCACCAGAAGCACCAGCTCTTCCCCATTCCCCCAGGAGATGCATCCTGTCCTGACTCCAGAGATGCAGAAGAATGGGATGGAAACATGCATGGGACAATGACGATATCTCTTGCAAGATGCAACAGTTTTCCTGGACAGAATCACAACGTGTTGGTTAATCCGGTGAAGTCGTTCAGAAACCAGGCAATAAGAATGATGTAACCAGGTTCTACAGTTGTCCAAAAGTGAATCACAGGCTCCACGACAGCCCCCACCTCCCTCCTTTTGCTGACTAATACCTGACATGGCTCGGCAGCCCCTGGAAGGAACGGCACAGGAGAGCCCTTTAAGCAGTGCCTGGCTCCTTATCAAAACCACACAGAGGCTGTCTGGGACCTCCATCATGGGGAATTCCCCTTCTCCATGCCTAAAAGTAAACTCAGCTGGGCTGGTCTTCCTGCATTTGGGGATTGCAGCTGAAGAGCGCCTGGCCCAAAAGGTTCTCACCACCCCAAGCCCCTCCGCAACCCAGCCAGGTGAGTAGCACGATGCTTTTTTCAGCGCGAGTATGCTCAAGAGTGAGGGGAAGGCAGGCAGGCAGCTTTTTGTCTGTCAGCCCAGAGCGCTCCAAAGCCAAACCATGCCACCCCACCTCCTCTCCTCACAGAAACAGAGCAGGGTTTGGCTACTTTTTGCAGGTTGAGACATTATCTTCTAAACAAGATGCTTTCAGGTTCTGTGGGACTGCATTGAGCTTTGAAGCCAGGTTTTCTGAGGGTTTACAGAATAGCACTGGGCCTACTGGGGTAAAATAAGCCCTTCGGGGAACAAAAGGGAAGATGTTGCCTGTGTGGGGGGCTCCTGCCGTCTCATCCCCAGCTGAGACCTCAGACACAAGCACAGCCAAAGAGCATGTCAGGGTCCCAGCACCCACTGAGCTGCCTTGTAACCGAGCCAGGCTGCCAGGGAGATGTCCTGGTTGGAGTGAAGGGCAGTCAGGGAAAGGAGGTTTAGGGGGGTTTTTAATTTTTACAACCCAAAACACCAAATCACCAAGAAGCAGTGGACCTGTCTGAACCCAGCTGAAGTAGGAAGCCAGTACTAGGACAGCTGGAAACAGCAAAATCACCAGTGAAGGACAGCCCGGGAGCCCAGCAGCAGTCACATAAGGAGGAAATGTCAGTACAGGCAGAGCACAAGCTGTATGCCTGCTTACAGCAGGCTTTCTTTCCTTCTGCTTCGCTGTTCTAGATGTAAAACACCTTCTCTGTGGCAAAACCAACACAAGAAAGAAAGGTAGCTATGGAACAAGCCCCAAAAAGCTGCATGAAACCAGGTGTTCCCTGTGGTTCTTGCTCCTCTGGCTGATTTCTGTTGTTCACAAATGCATGACAATCAAAGCAGCAGCAGAGAGGAAAAGGATCCCCGATAATTAATGCTCCAGCTAGGGGGTGTGATTTCCTTGTGTAACGTTAACTCAGAGACACAGACGCGGTGGGGGAACTCCGCCTGCCCCAGCTGCTGAGGAACGATCTGGTAAGGCTCAGCGGGCACGCAAACCTCCTTCCCGGGGCTGCGGGGAGCCTGGCACTGCCGCAGCCCACCCGCCTGAGCGGCCGGGAGAACCGGGGGCTCCTCAGCACAGCCTCCCCGCCCCCCCCCCCCCCCCAAACCGGCTGCCCCCCAACATGCGACACCGGGGGAGCCCAGTGGCGGGAAGGCGGCGCGGCTGGGCCCTGCCCGCCCCTCGGCCCCGCCATTTTGTGCCTGGATCCGCTGAGGGAGCCGCCGCTGCGCCCGGACCGGCTGCCCCGCAACGAGCGGAAACCCCCGCCGAGGGCGAAGGCAGGGCCGACTCCTTCCGCCCCGCTGCACCGGGCGGGCCCACGAAACCCCGAATGACACCGACACCCCCCCACACACACCCCCCAGAGAACAAGAACCCCTCCGCCGCCAGCCCGACCATAACAATCTATCGCCTCCGCCCTCACTCTTTATACCATCCGCGCCGCGCCGATTGGCTGCTGGGCCTGTCCGTCAGGCTGGGAATTTCCCGGGGGCGGAACCACCGCTCCCCAACCCACCCCGCCCCGCTTCCTCCCGTGCTGGCGGCGGAGCGGTACCGGTACCGGTACCAGTACCGGCACCGGCACCGGGAGCGGCCCCGCCTCCGGGGCACACTGGCAGGTGAGCTCAGAGCGGTACGGGGATCTGCTGCCCTTGGGGAAACGGGCCGTGCTTGGGGCACCGGGGTCTTACCGGGCACTGGGGTCTCGCCGCCCTCGCAAAGGGTCCTGGCGGTGGGGATGGCGCTGGCGGGGCTCGGGGCTGCGCGTTGGCCGTATCTTGCTGGTTTACGGGCTCTCGGTCTGCTCAGGCGGTGGTGGTGAAACCCCGGAGAGGGGCCGGGGTCGCGCCGCCCCCGTGGGATCTGCTCCGGGGCTAGCCCGGGTGCCGCGGGCGGGTCGCGATAGTCGTGCTTTGCCTCAGTTTCCCTTCCCCTGGGGCCGGGTAGGGGTTGCCGGTTCCCCTCGCCGCTCCTGAAGGGGCACGCTGGGTGTAGGGGAGCCTGGGTTTACAGGCGGTGTCGGTGCCCGGGGGACGAGAGGGGGAAAGGCTCGGAGAGATGCTGGGGGGAAGCAGCCCCCCACCGCAGCCGTACCCCGGGCTCTCTCCTCCCCTCGCTCTGCCTTACACAACCCCGGCGTTTCCCCGGGCCCACGCGTCTGCTTTCTGACTATTTCTGGGCTTGCGGTCCCCCCTCGGGCAGGGACGGTGTGTGGGTCCCACGCGAGGTGGGGCTGTGGGTTCAAGGAGCCTCCAGTCAATGCTATTTTCCTCTTTCTTTGAGTTTTTCCTCCCCATCCTGCTGCTGGTCCAGCACGGCATGTCTACATCAGATTCTATCCAGAGGCTGGAATAGCTGGAGCGGGGGTGGCAGCATCCCCACCTGCCTCCCCTCCTTCTTCGGGGAGATGGTGCACAGCTTGCTTCCCCATCTCCCCTCCCTCAGTTCTAGGCTAAGGCCCCTGCTGAGAACAGAAGGAAAAAAAAAGATGCTGTCTGTCAGCCCTGCTTTTGGGTCAGAATAGCTCCAAATGGGACTTGATGGTGACCTGCAGCCTTTCGGAGATCTGGCAGTCCCATTCCTCTGTGTCCCTGGGCACAGGTTGCTCCCTGTATCATGGAGACAAGTGCAACCTTTCCCTTTTAGCTTGTTATTTCTATCTGCTTGGGTCAGTAAGAGCTGTTCTGCTGCCACAAGCTCATTTGGAGTGCGAATTTCACTGAGACCGCTGGCAAAGCGTGCTGGAGCCAGGAGACCGGACTTGGGGCACTGGTGCGAGTCTGGAGGGAGGAAGGCTCCAGCCAGGCACGTCCTTGAGAGCTGCCTCTGTGGTGAGGCGAAGTAAGCAAGAAGGAGAGGAGAGGCTTTTTGCAGCCTTTGGCATCATTCCTGGCTCTGCAAGAAATCCCACTATGCCCTTTCAGCCTGACCTATGCCAAGCAGGCCTATTTAGCACAGGGCTGTGGGTTGTTGCTTGCCAGCAGCTGGTACAAAACACTCGTGGGCGGAGGAAGCTGAATTATCTACCCTTGTGGCATTGCAGATTTGATTTTAAAGCAACAATTCTTATGCTTTGGGTAACAGAGGTAGCTTTGCTGGTGTAGCTTTGCAATGCCACTGTCTTCTGCTGCTTGGTTGTTGCTCGGCTGAAGTGCACCAGGTTGGACAGGAGTAGTAGCTCAGGTTGTGCTGGAGCTGCAAGGAAGGGGGTGGCTGTGCCTTGTTCTGCTTCTAAGTGCCGTGACAAGCAGCCATGATGCTCCTGAGCTCTGCCAGGGGAAGAAACAGAGCAGGCAGCACAGAGCAAAATGTCTTTGCAGCAGAAGACAGGGTCTTGCATAAAAAACCACAGTGCTGCCCAGGGCAGCACCACCACTAAGACTGGCTGCCTGTCCTGCCTGCACTGGAGCTTGGACCCATGGCAAGGAGCTCTGTAGCTGCGTGTGGTTACCCGTGTTTGTAAACCTGGCTCTGAATAGGAAAATGCTTTCTTTTCCTTGTGAACAGGCTCATTAGAAGCAGGTCGTTTTGTGAAGCTTCTGCAGGAGGTGGGTTTCTCAGGTGAAGGTGGGATTTCTGGCCAGAGGACATCTGTAACATCAGCTGTGTTTTGGATGAGGGTCTTGCCTTTCCCACCCTCTCTCTGCAGCTAGCCAGGCTGGAAAGAAAAATGTTTCAAGTGGGGGTTCGGATCTTTCCCTTTGAGATATGAGCATTACAATGCTTGCTTTTCCTCTTCTTTTATTACTTCCAGCCCAGTGGACTGTAGTGCCCAGAAAGTCGTCTTATTGCTCTCTCCTAAAGCCAGCTCTGCTTTTGCTTCCCTGCAAATGAGACCAGTCCAGCAGCTCAGGAATGATTGTTCCTGGTCTGGGGAGCTGCTGGAGCTCTGGGGAGGGAAAGAAACCAGGCTGGGGCCTGTGTTATTTTGCTGATTTCCAGTAAAATGATCAAACAAACAAAAAAATCCTTCTGTAGTGTCTGAGTCGCTTTTGCTTTTGCTTTGAGGAGGAGGGATGACAGGAGCCCAGCATCCCTGGTCATGGGAAAACGATGCTGGCAGCCTGCAGGGATTTGCTTTCCCCTCGTGCAGTTCTGGCAGGGAGGAGACTTCCTTGGAATGTTGCACGCCAGGGTAAGGAAAACCCCATTCTCCTGAGGGCTGGGCCAAGCCCCCACCGTGGATTACAGGATGGGAATTGATCCTGTGGCTTCGGAAGGCTGGTTTCCACCTCGGGGGAAAAAAGCAAACTTCCAGCGGTGTCAGCCCACTCGCTACACAGAATTCACGTCCTCTGCCTTCAAATCTTCTGCTGTTCAGTAATTTTAAAGCAGGAATCATTTCCTTCTGACTCTTCTGCGTGGCTGGTGCAGTGGTGGCTGTGGTGCCGGTGGTGGTGATGCACATCTTCCTGGATGACAGCAGGGAATAGCCTGGCCACAGCTGTATGGTTCAAGCTTACTCCCAAGCCACAGCACAGCTATTTAAATGCCACCCTGCTTTCATCTTTGCCTGGGAGTCTCCCTTGCCCGCTCACTCTCTCATTCTCTCCTTTTCTTGAGTTGTCGTAAAAGTCTGCTACCTAAAGGTCTCAGTGCCCTGATTGGAGCCAGCAATACCCACGGGCAACCGTGGTGTCTGGCAGCTTCTGCCAGTGGCTGGGCACGGAGCTGGTGAGCTATAGCCAGGCATCCATGATCCATTGCTGGCCCTCAACCCCTGGGGCTGTGAAATACTGTCAGATTAGCTTAGAAACTGTTAATTGACAAAAAGAGAAGTGTTTTCTGGTGGTTTGGCGGTTTCTTCCGGAGTTTGTGGTTGTCATGTTTTCTTTGCATTTCTAGCCATCATTAGGTGCTGGTCTGTAGTCCTCTCTCTCCTCCCCTGGTGTTTTTATTGAAACATTAAATTTTTGTCACTACAAAGCTGACTTTTCAAAAATCTTAATGAAAAAACAAAACAAAACAGGACTGAGAATAGTAACCTGGTCCAGAGTCCTGTCCCCAGGGTGACAGCTCAGTCCCAGTGGCTCCTTTGCAGAAATGGAACTGTTCTTCCACTCCAGGCAAACCCTCCCTGACCCTGACGATGGGCTCAGATGCTGCAGAAACCCTCTTCTCTTGCTGAGTCTTGTTTGCTGGTGAATTTGTGGCTGGTCTGTGCTTTTGTCAGCTGGAGATAGTTGAGTTCCTTTCCCCGGCTGCTGTTTGGAAACAACTCCCATGGCCCCTCTGCTGCCATCTCCCTGGTGGGGTGCAGACCCTGGGTAGAAAAATCCTTGATAAAACCTTGAGAACTGGGAATAGCAGAGGCTTTTGGTGGTTCCATCTAGCTGGAAGAATATGGGGTTGCCACGAGTAAGCTCTGAGGGTCAGCAGAGTAGTTGGTGCAGCTGGCTCGGGTTTGAATGTTCTTTGCAGGGGTTCCCCTGTTCCATTTGTGCCAGGCTCCCCTACCCACACATGGTTTTGTCCCAGTGGAGGACACGGGTGCTCTACAAGATGCTCACTGCAAGATCACTTTGTTAACCAGCTCTTCCCAGAGCCCCAGGTTTGGGGTTTGGAGCAGCGTGTGGTGACCAGACACCAGTGAGAAACAGGCTCAGGTCCCCAGTCTGTCTGTGACGCTGTCCCTGTCCTCAGGCAGGTAGCGTGGCCACAGGCATTTCCCTGTGGTGGAGGTGCGACCAGGTCCCTGGTGTGCCACCACACTGGGCTCCATCCTGCCCACCAGCAGGTCTGCTCCGGGAGTTTTCCCCATCCCATGGCGGGGGGATTGCGTACAGGCTGTGATGATGCTGCCCAGCACTGGGACCCATGGCACGGAAACTGCCCCTGTTCTTCTGCAGCTTCCTGTCAGCTGCTCTGGGCTCCAGAAATAGCTGCTGCTCAACTCGCCCTGTGCCGCAGCCGGGCAGCTCCTGATCACCATCTCCCACTGCTTGGGATGGGGCTGGTGGCTCCCTGCAGGGAGCCTCCGGCGATGAGGGGCTTGGGGGCACCCGCAGAGCCGGAGGACGGTGAGACCTACCGACAGATGCATCTCCCAGAAGGAGACTGCCGCTGAGTCCGTGCCTAATTACCTGCCGCCGAGGCAGGCGTTAATTGCCACTCCAGCTGCGGATGCTGCCAGGTGGCAGTTGTCATCTGGAAAGTCCCTGCTGCTCCCTGGCAGGCAGGTCATCTAAACTGGTGATCAGCCCGGATCACTTGTGACATGAGCATTAGTCTGAGGTTAAGATGGTTTCAGGTATGAGCTACCCTCCTCCCCCTTTCAAAATGTGCCCCCCCCCCCTCAGCCTTCTCCCTCTCACAAGCTCCAAGCTGCCTTGACTGGATGGAAGCGCACTTAGGGGGGTGCCTGCGGGTGCTCCTGTGGTGCCCCCAGGCAGCACCCCAGCTCCAGCTGGCATCACCCCCCAGGGCTGTCTCATCTCCTGCGCTGCTCCGCTTTATAACAAGCTGGAATCGGGGGGGTATTTTGGATAAGTTTGTACTGCAATTCTCAGCAGCTGCTTTATCACCCCCAGGAGGTGTATGAGTCCTGAAGCTAGAATCCTGCCCAGGCGACCCCAGGCCAGACCTTGGCAAGGCCTTAGGCCACCCACAAATGCAAGGAATTAAAAAAGCAAATAGCATGCTGTGTGCGGGTGTTCCCTCTCCTTGTACTTTGCTCCTGGCTCGGCACATCCCTGACTGTTCCCTGTGCCCCAGTTTGGGCAGCTGAGCCATTGGCAGCCGGTTTTTCTGGCTGAGCTGGAGGGCAGAGCAGGTCCCTGCCTGGCTGCTGGGTCTTGTCCCCCCTGGTGCTGCCCAAACTACCCACCAGCTGCAGGTTAAGGCTTTTGGAGCTGCAGACACTGCCCCTCCCCAAACATCCCTCTACAACCCTTTCTGCTCCCCAAAAATACTCTGCAATGAGCAGGATGCTCTGGTGGCAGTGCCCAGGTCCATGCTGGCATGGGTAGATACTCCTGGGCTGGGTCCCCGTCCCTCCTGGGATGTAGCAGCAGGCAGCTGCGACCTCCTCGGGGACTCGGGGTGAGAGCTGGCCCAGAGTGGGGCTGCTGGTGATGCCTCCTCGCGTGACACTTCTCATGGCTGTGAGTCACCCCGGGCATGTTCACCCCAAGCAGGGTCAGAGAGGGAAGTGCCTTCACCTGGGACACTTCTTCACTGGCTGGTGAGCAGTGAGGCAGCGCTGCCTCCGCTGGCACAGCACCCCAGACAGTTGGGACCAGTGAACCGTGGCACCGTCTGGAGCCAGAGGAAGGTGACACTGTGCTCCGTTGTCCTGCAGGGATGCCCGGCTGGGAGGTAGGCGACTGAATGGCAGGCATGGAAGGGAGAGGACCCTACCGTATCTACGACCCTGGCGGGGGCTCAGAGGAGAATGGATCCACGGCCTTTGAGCGGCTGGTGGAGGAGAACACCCGGCTGAAGGAGAAGATGCAGGGGATCAAGTCTATCGGTAACTGCTCTGTGACTGGGGGATGAGGTTTGCCTTTGGGGCAGCTAAGCCTGTGACCACGAAGCCTGGAGGTTTTTTGCTCTATTTAGGAAGGGTGCTATAAGAAGCTGGGGGTCTTGGCACTGGGGCAGCAGTAAAGTTCTCCCTGTCCTGGGGGGTCAAGCAGGATGTCTGGGCTTTTTCACGCAGGGGTGCAGAAGGAGCAAGGCTTTTGCTGAACTCTTGGGGTGCTTTACGGTGGGATAAATGGTGGGAAAAAAAAAAAAAGGCAAGTGATGGAGCAAGGTCAGCTCCTCAGAGTCCTGCAGTGGCAGGTCACAAATGCCAGGATCTGTTTTGCTTTTGATGAAAGTACCCCCATCCCACGTTGGGTCAGGGGCTTTTCCCGGGTGCTGCTGAAAGACCCCTGCGTTGGGCGTTCCCTGCAGCGGCAGGGACATGCCAGCATCGAAACACTCCAGCCAGGTCGTGCCACCCCCTTTGTCCTTCGCCACCTTCCCCCACCCACCCCTGTTTTGCTTTCGGTCTCGTGACCCAGCTTCCGCTTTCGAGTCCTGCTTCTGCAGCTGAATTTCCACCTGCCTCGTGATTCCCATCGTGTCACCATGCCCCTACCTGTGACCGGGACCCACTGGTGTGGGATCAGCCACCCGGGGTGGGGAGAAGATTGCATTGCCTGTGCCAGACCTCAAGGCAGGCAGGCTGAACCCCTAGGTCCACCAGCTAGGCTTAAATTCATTTCTTCTGGGGAGCAAGGAGACGTCTGAGGGATACAGTGCTGCCCTTCTGCCTCCTGCAACCAGTCTTCTGTGTGTCAGCTTGCGTGACTCGGCAGCCAGTGAGCCACTGATATAGCTTTGCCATTGGATTTAGCCAAGAAAAGTTGTTTCTGGATGAAGAAGGACCATGCTGGGCACTTCACCCACGGAGAGGGGTTTGGTGTTGGTGGATGGGGCTGCTGCAGGGCAGGCACTTTGTGAAGGAAGATGAGCATCCTTCTGTTGCCCACAACAGGAGAGCTGCTGGAGGAGTCCCAGGTAGAGGCAACCAAGCTGCGGCAGAAGGCAGAGGAGCTCGTTAAGGACAACAAAATGTTGATGGCATCATCTTCCTTGGAGGACCTGGTGGAAACTGGAGGTAAGAGATGCAAGGCTCACTGGGGAGGGATAACCTGACGGCTCAGGATCCTGAGCTCAGGGAAAAAAAGAGGGTGTGAAGGAGACTATCATGAAGGTTTCTTGGAGCCCTGTCTTCTCTGGAGTGTATCAAACCATTGCCATCCTCGCTTATCCTGAAGGGAGGTTTCTGTCCTGTTCCCATAGCTGGGGTAGAAACCATCCATCGGTGCCTGACCTCACAGGGTGTCTGCTTTCTGCATCCCTGCGCCAGGTGGGGAGAGGCCCTGGTCTCCAAAAGACTCATGACTGTGTCCTCTCCCCTCTCTGCAGCTGTCGGCCCTGATCCCAGCTCCACACAGGCCGCCCCAGGCAGCACCCAGCCGAACATGGAAGCCCGGAAATCTCCTCCAAGTGTGAGTATGGTGAATGTGAGTGCTCGTGCTGGTGTGGCTGGAGGGAGAGACTCTCCATCTAGTTAAAGCAAAAGGAGGCAGCCTTTAGCCTCTATAAATGGAGATAAATTTGAAAGGAGGGATCAGCTTCCCTGCTGCGCTCCCGTCCTGGCAGTCCCTGCCTCCGTGCAGTGGGCACCCTGGGTTGCCATTCCCTGGGGAGACCTGACCTGGCTTGCCTCCCCTTTCAGGGATCCTCCTCAGAGTTTGAGATCGTCGCTGTGGAAGCACAGGGGTTTCCCCAGGAGAGCGGGAGAGCGGTGAGTGGCCCTGGTGCCTGCAGGGTTTGGTGGGCGGCAGGGGGAGAGTCGAGCCGGTTGGTGCGGCGGTGGCGGTGGTGGTACTGGGGGCGTGGGAGGGTGTGCAGACAGGCAGCGGTGTAGCCCCAGCAGGCACAGGCAGGGCTGGGGGACCTGTGTTGAGGCAGCCCTTGAGCAAACCACAGAGGAGAGTTAAACAGCACCCAGGCATTCCCAGGGGAGCAGAGCCAGCCCCTCACATACAGCCCCCGGGACAGTGCTCGTGCTGCTGTGCCCAGCCTCCACCACCGATGAAGATGAGGGAACCTGGCCAGTCTGCAGGCAGGAGGGAACCACACAGAACCGTGGTTCGCCCTCCCCATGTCTCACTGGGGCTGAAGGGCTCAGCAGTGATGGTACCTGTGCTGCTCCTTTTGCCTGGCCAAGGTGGGGAGAGGGGCAATGTTCAGGCTGCCCTCCAAGTGCCAGGGCTAAGTGGCCTAGCCACAGGGCAAGCAAAGCAGCCCCAGCCAGACAGGGACACCAGTGTCTCCAGATGCCACGTGACAGCAACAGGAAGGGCTGTGATGACCTGAGGAGCTGTCAGCGATGCCCTGATGCTCACCTCCTGACACCTGCACTGGCTGGGAAGACCAGGTCTCCAAGCCCCGTTGTTGCTGACGGGGTCTGCCCCAGCCAAGGCACCTCCGTGTGCTCCGTTTGCTACCACCTGAATGTCCCCCTGGCTGGCACTGCCCCGTCCTGTCCTGCTCTGGCTTTTTGTGTGTGCTGGGAGGAGGGATGGGGAGCGCAAGGGGCGTGAACATCAGCTTGCACCACATGGTGCCAGTAAGGGGACATGTTCTCATTGCTCATCCCTGTTTGCGTTGGCCAGAGCGGCTCTAGGGTTGGTTGAGTCTTGCTGGACCCTCTTGGGGTGCAGTCATGGGGCAACGGAGAATGAGGGAGCATCTGCTTGGCGATCAGCTGCTGGCACCTCAGCAGAATGCTACTCCCGTGCTCACACCTGGGCTCTCCCAGGCACTCCAGCTGGGCTCCAGTCCTCGCTGTCCCCCCCTTGCTGGCCGGCTCACGGGAGCAGCCAGTCATGCTGTGCCCTGCACACCCCCTCCCATGGCAGTTTCAGGGCTGTGAACCCCGGGGCCAGGGTGCTGGGCACACTGCCATGCTGCCCGGGGCATTCCCACAGACAGCAGGCTGAGTCAGTGGGGTGTACAAAGGTGTGCCAGCACAGTGCCACGTGTGCCGGGCTGGGCTCTATTGTGCCAACAGTGTCTCCTAGGCAATGAAGGAGTTAACCAGCCACACCAGGGGAGGACAAGCCTGTTGGGGACACCCCTTTATGCGTAGATGGGGGTACGCCCTGATGCTGGTGGGTGCGCCCTGACCTGGGCTCTCCCAGCCACTGTTTAAATCCCCGTGCATCACCCTCTTGGCTGCCACCTGTCAAAGAGCCCAGGTTCCCGGCGGCTGGCATGCCACAGCGGCACAGGAGCTGTAGAGGAGGGACAGGAGGAAGGAGAAGATGGGGACAGGGGTAAGACTACCCCTCAACATGGCAAACCTCAGCTCCCAGGGCAGACCGGGGCATATGTGGAAAGGAGTCTCAGGAGCTGGGATTTCTAGTCTTGGGGAGATGGGGAGAGCTCAGAGGAGAAGGGACCAGTGGTCCTGATGCCTTGTTGCTATCAGCGAGCTGGGAGTGTGGTCTGCTCAGATTGCTGAGGGGCACAGGGAATCCATGGGCTGGAAGACCTGCTGCCATAATATCCTCGTCCACCTGGGAATTTGGTGTTGCATGTCCAACAGCTGGGAAGCAAACCTTTAAAAAGCTGACACAATTTTTCAGCGTACCGTAGGCTGTTGCAGAGCATCTTGGTGCTGGCCCAGCTCCCCGCCACAGCCCTGGATGGGAGACGAGGCCAACCTACCCCAAGAGAGAACTTTACAGTGCTCCTTGAACTGATCTGACCGTGCTTCATCCCTTCCCTGTCTCCAGGACTTGGAGCAGCCACCAAACGAGGATGCCAACCTGCTGCCCCAGCTGCAGCAGCTGGAGAGCACACTGAGCGGCTGCGCCAAGGAGGCCAGCAAGGACCAGGTCTTCGTGCGTATGGGCTACATGGCCTCCGAGCTCAAGCGCCTGGCCTCCAAAGTGCACAAGAACGAGCAGAGAACATCGTTCCTGCAGGTGAGTGAAGGCTGGCTGGGCTCTTCATGGGGGTTTTCCTTTTTCTTTTTTTTTTTTTTTTTTTTTTTTTTTTTCCCCCACCAAGCTCCTCCTGTCTGCCCCAAGGTGGACACCTACCTTCATTCCAGGGCTTGGTGGGAGGTGGGTGGCCGGGCTGGCTGCAGTCCTCATGCTGCCGGCATTCATCCCCCACAGACGCTGTGTGAGACGCTGCACAGTGAGAACAAGGAGCTGCGAACCAAACTGGAGCGGGACCTGGAGCAGAGAAACCAGGCACTGGAGAAGCTCAGGTGAGGGTGGTCAGTGGGGAGGGGGATGTTTCTGCCCTGGGTGCTTCTTCCCGCTGAACAATCCTCTCCCTACCTGCAGATGTGAGAACCAGGAGCTCCGGAGGATGGTGACTCTGAGCAGCCAGGACAGTGGAAAGAGGGAAGCTGCCGAGCAGCAGCAGGTGAGGAGGCAGCATCGCCCTCGGAGAGGGCTGGGAAGGAGGCAGGGAGCCTGCTGTGACACATTCAGCAAAGGTGGCCTCATTTTAATCGAGCCCCCAGTTTATCCCAGTTATGACCAGCAGGATTTCTCAGGGTTTCGAGGGGATGGGGGAGGCCATGGGAGGGGAACTGGCTTGAGTTCAGCTGGCCTCAGGCACAGCCTCCACAAAAGCCCTGAGGGTCCCCCCCGTGCGCGTCCAGCAGAGCGGGGCCATGGTGGAGAAGGCGCCGGGCAGAGGAGAGCTGGAGGCCAAGGAGAAGAAAGTGAAGATCCTGGAGCACCAGCGCAGGGAGGTGAGGACCAGGCTGGGAGGGAGGCACTGCCAAGGAGCGGGCAGAGGGGATGTGTGGCTGGGCTGGCATGGGGAGACTGGGGCAGGGCTGCAGAGCCGCAGGGAAGCGCTGCTGGAGCTGGGATCTCCATCCAGCTGGTCCCTCGGGTGCTTTTGTGTGATGGGAGGCTGCTGGGGACTGCCACGGCTGGCTCGGGCCAGGGATTGAGCTCCTGTTCAGCCATCCCTTTCTCCCTGCAGCTGCTGGAGGTGAACAAGCAATGGGATCAGCACTTCCGAGCCATGAAGCAGAAGTACGAGCAGAAGGTAGGGCTGGGTGCTTGGAGGGCACATCTCTGCTGGGTGCTGGCTGGGGGGACTTGAAGGAGACCAGGTTCAGGGCAAGATTTTGGGGCTGTCTGCATCTCCTTCCTCCCCAAGTGTGGGTCCTTCTGGACAGGCCAACATCTTTGCTCCCTCCCGGCAGGTCACAGACCTGCACCAGGAGCTGGCTGAGGCCCGCAGGGCACTGACTGAGCTGGAGTCGGAGCGGGAACAAAAGCAACGGGATTTTGACCGCAAGCTGCTCCTGGCAAAGTCCAGGATTGAAACAGAAGAGGTGAGTCCCTCTGGAAGGGTGTCAGGGAGCTGGTTGCCCTATCACCCTGCCCTGGCTGATTTCTCCCTGGGTGCTGCAGGCAGAGAAGGAGAGACTGGCCATGGAGGTGAGGGACCTGCAGCAGAGGATGAGGTTCCTGCAGGAGCAGCTGGCTCCAGTTACCAGGCAGCGGGAATACCAGGAAAAGGAGATCCAGAGGCTGAACAAGGTGGGGGCCAGGGCACAACCCCTCCCTGCAAAATGTCTTTTATGTTCTCCAGGCTCTTCTCCTCTCAAATCCAAAACTGACCCTGATTAACCCTCTCCTGCCCAGCTCCTTGCCCAGGCAGGAGCTTGTGTCAGACGATGCCCACTGCATCCCTCTAGGCTCCAAGGAAGAGGGGTTTGGGGGGGTCTGTTGTCCCTCTTGCTCTTGCCTAGTTATACCTGCTTCCCATGCTGGGCACATGTCCGTGGTCCTCCAGACAAATCATGGGCACAGCACCTTCCTCTGACCCCCCTCCCTGTGCCTCCTTTTCCTCTCTAGGCACTAGAGGAGGCCCTGAATGTCCAGGCCTCTCCGCCACCCATCTTTGCCAGCACCATGGAGCCAGCGGGGAAGGTGCCGCAGCAGGAGCTGCTGACCCAGAACGAGCTACTCAAGCAGCAGGTAGAGCAGGACACGGAGCCACTGGAGGCAGGGAGGGAGCTACGTGTCCTGGATCTCCCTGGCAAAGAGCCCGCTGTGGCCAGGAGCAGCCCAACAGCCATGGCGGGTGTCGGTGCTGGAGCTCAGCATCCTCCAGGCCTTCAGCTGAAAGGACCACAGCCATGGTCCATGGTGCCAACCCACATGCCTGGAGCTTGGTGTACCTGGTGGGGTCAGGGATGGCAACACAGTGATAGGGGGTGCTTGGGGGAGGTGTCTGCCCTCAGCCAGGTGCACCCACATCTCTCCTTCCGGCCAGGTGAAAATTTTCGAGGAGGACTTCCAGCGGGAACGGAGTGACAGGGAGAGGATGAACGAGGAGAAGGAAGAGCTGAAGCAGCAGCTAGAAAAGCTGCAGAAACAGTTGGTCCTCTCCAACAACCAGGTGAGCAGGGTGCCACTCTGGGAGCCCCAGGTCTGTCCTGGCTGTGTCAGAGGTGCTTGTCCCTACTGTCACAGCCCCTGTACCCATCTCAGAGCAAGGGCTAAAGGGGGGACAGAAAGGCCAGAGAGGTGGTTTTGCTGCTGCTCGTCCCTGGCAGAGCATCTCCTTTCACTCATTGCTTCCTTCTGCCCCTTTTCTGGGGATCTGATGGGGGGACCAGTGTGGGTATTCCCGCAGGGCATTGCAGCTACCCTTGCCCCATGGACACAGGGGGTGGCAGGGTGGGCTCTGCACTAACCCCTCCTTGCTCCCAGCTGCGAGCCTCCAAGGACGACTGTCAGAGGGAGAAGGAGGAGAAGGAGAAGCTGAAGAAGCTGCTGAAACAACACAAACAGGTGGGAATTGGGGGTAAAAACCCTTTGTGGGTGGAGGGGCTGGGGACTCCAGGCCTGGCCCCAGTCCCTTGTATTCCATTGTAGGGGCAGCTCCAAGCTGGGTGATGGATGGTGGTGGTGGGCTGCCCTTGGGGGTCTCCCCAGCATCATCCCTGACTCCTCACAGGCTTCTGGAGAGAGGCTGCACCCCGAGCCGCTGCCAGGGCCAGTGGGCCCTACCTGCCCCATGTACCAGTACCAGTACAGTCCCCCCGTGGCTCACCCCATGTACCACGGCTTCGACGAGTGGCAGCAGATCCGATACCCGCCAGCGATGCCGGGCGAGCACGCGCCAGGACAAAACTTCCATCATTTTCCCCCGGTGAGTGTTTACCTGTGCCAGCATGAGGGGGAGCAGAGGGTCCCATGCGAGTGGGTCTGGGGCTTGCTGCCAAGCGAGCAGCTCCTCGAGGGTCACTGAGCAGGAAGCTAAGCACACACATCCTGTTGGCATGTGAATGCTCAGCCCTCTTCCTCCTCCTCCTCCTCCTCCTCCTCCTCCTCACGCCCTGGCAATCAAACAGGGAGTGCAGCCTCATCGTTCACATCCCTGGTAATTTGTCGTTTCTGTTCCATCTCCTCCTGCAGCCCGAGTACCCCTGGCGCCCACCCTGTGCCATGGCTCGCAGCCAGAATGCCCAAGCAGTAGCCGGGGTGAAACCAGTCCCCAAGGACTTGGGTAAGGCTCGGACCCGAGGGGAGTGGCCCCATCCCTCGCCCTGAAACCCTGGGCGGTTGGCTGAACACTTGGGGGAGGAATGGGGGGACAGCTTGCCAGGCAGTGGCCATTTCCCTAAAGCCCCCACCTCTGATCAGCCAAGGGGATGATTCTGCCGTGGGGTTGGCCCCTGCTGCATCCCCCCCACCATCCCCACAGAATGTGAAGACGGGCATGAGCCTGAGCCCCAGCACCCCATGGGCTTATGACAGTTGGTGCTCGGGGATAACGGCCATCTCATGGCTGGCATCTCTCTCATGGGGCTCGTCTGGGCACGAAGAACCATGCTCACCCCGTACCGCCTCTCTCTTGTGTCTCAGACCAGGCAGGTCCCGGGTTGCCCTAACGCCAAGGACCGGCTGCGCTGCGATACCAACAGAAGAGGAGTAGGGTGTGTGTGTGTGCCCGTGTGTATATATCTAGGAGCTTCCTCTGGCTGCCTCTCCCTGTGCGCAGACAGGCACTGGACGTGGCCGCAGCCCTGGCCTGGAGCAGCTCGGCAGCGCATCCCCACCAGGAACGTGGGCAGGATGGGAGTGGAGGTGCCATCGTGGGGGGTGGCCAACACCGGGTCACTCCCCTGCAGCCATCCCCTTCCCCAGGAGGCATCAGGCCTGACATCGCTGTAGATCCGAGCCAGGTCTTCAGGGAAGAGGAGCTGGCGTTTCCCAGGAGCTGCCCCCGTCCAGGGGCTTCGGTTCAGCCCCTGGAGGAGTGGGTGACAGCGGGGACTCTCCCGGCGGTGGGAGATCCCATGCCTGCAGGCGAGTGCCTGCTGCAGCCGTGAACCGGGCTGAGGGTGGTTGGTGTTCTTTGTATTTATTTAAGGACTGAAGTGTAGCTGAGTCTCTCTGGTTTTATCGTGAAAACAGCTTTCCCGAGGGCAGCCTCTGTGTGGGGACGGGGAGGGAGGCCAGGGCTGCTGCTGCCCACGTGCTCAGACATAGCCACAGGGCCAGAGCAAGCACAAGGGGAACCCAACTCTTGTGTGGGCACCCCAGGATCTAGCCCCTCACTCTCCGCTCTCCTGCCCCACACCTTTGCCGGGGCAGGGAAACCCCTGCTCCCGCTCTGCCTTTCCCTGCAGCAAAAGCCTTAGGGCCAGTCTTTCAAATTGCGCAGAGCAAATCTTGCTCCAGGAAAACAAGTCTGGAGGGGAAAAAAAAAAAAAAAAAAAATCAAAACAAACAACACAATCCTGTTTCTGTAAGCGTGGCTGTCACGTGCATGACAGCAGGAGCTGTGGCACCCTGGCATGCTCCTCACTGTGGGCTGGGCTCCAGTCCCTGCTCCCAGCCCCTTTTGCCCTGCCGTGTTCTGCACTAACCCCCACCCCATCCTCTCCCCAAAATTCTGGGCTGTGATGATATAATCCATTGATAAATCCATATTTGTAGTTGTCATGGGGAAAAAAAAAAAAAAAAAAAAAAAGATTCTCCACTTGGTAACTCCAGGTTTGCCCCTGTTCCCCCCACTCTTTTCCCCCACTCCTAGCCAAGAAGCAGGGCTGTGTGTTTGCAGAGCCTTTATTTGGCATTTCTGTGGTGAGGGCTGAGGGGCTGGCTGCCCCTGGCCAGGAGAGGAGCACGTCTCTGGGACCACGGGCAGCTTGAATGCACTGAAGAGCTGCTCCGTGCCCGTCAGGATCAGGCCAGGCCCGCCCCACGCCAGGGGCTTTCGGGCCAAGCCTTCATGGAGATGTGGTCTTCTGCTCCAGAGGCAGCCAGTCCCTGCAGCCTCCCGCTGCCTGGGGTGGCGGAGCAGGGGGGGCAAGCTGGGGCCAGGAAGAGAGGGCACCACCCGGGGGTGAAGGTGGGACACAGGGTTATTGGGAAACGCTCCTCTCCCATCGCTGAGGTCTCTGCCACCGGGTTGCCTGGTCCGGTATCCCGGCCGGGGGATGCCAGAGACGGGAGCGATGGAGGGGGCAGCGTGTGGGCTCAGTGTTTGGCTCCTGCTGCTGGGGAGCATCTGGCAAGGGGGAAAGGATGGGGAGCAGCCCTGCAGCAACCAGGGGGGGATGCCAGGAGGAGGGAGAAGCCACCCCTCAGGCTGGCAGCCCCAGCCTCTACTCGTCCGGTTCTTGCTGCTGCTGCTGCTGCTGCTGCTGCTGCTGCTGCCTCATGTAGGCGATGATGTCGTTCTTCACAACGGCGATGTTGGCGCGGTGGTACCAGCGCATGACAGGCACGCCGTCGGGGCCCACCAGGAACTTCTCAAAGTTCCACTTGATGTCGTGGTTCCGCAGAGGCTCCCAGAAAAGGTTCTTGGGGTTCCCAAACTCCTCCGCCACCGGAGGACAGGCGTTCTGCAAGGGGCCGGCGGGGGGGGGGGGGGGCAGTGCATCACTGCCTTGCTCCCCTCCCCTCAAAGTAACCTGGGTGCTGCCCCCTCATTCCCTCCGCTCCCCGTGACACCCACCTTCAGGAAGGTGTAGACCTTCTGCTCCTTGGCCCCGTTCACGTCCCCTTTCTGGAAGAGCTGGAAGTTGGGGACAAAACCGCCCCCCGGCCGGACATACCTGCAAGGGAAGGGTGGGCAGGGCCTCACGCAACGGGCAGCTCTTGGTGCTGCACAAGGGCAGTGGGGGAACCCCAAGCCCCGTGCTTTTGGGGACCACAGCCTCAGGTTGAGGGGGGTGGGGTGTCACAGCCAGCAGGAGCTGCAGCTGAGGACCACAGCCCAGCGGGGGGGCAGGTGCCCTGCAGCCCCCACTGCAATACTCACTTCAGCGCGGGGAGGATCTCGGAGTTCTGGCCAGGTTCCTGCTTCCCAAATTGGTTGGAGGGGAAGCCCAGGACAACGAGCCCATAGGGTCCCAGCTCATTTTGTAGTGCATTCAGTTCTGCATGCAAGCAGAGCCATGGATAGGTTAGCAGGGGACCAGATTTAACCCCCCCCCCCACCTGCCCTGACCCCCTCGAAGCAGCCCCAGCAGCACCAGGTCCTGGGGAGCAGGCGTCACCCCTTTCCCCCAGCTCCCTGGGGCAGGACAGATCACGGGGACCTACCGAGGCTGCACACCTGGGTGACACTGCCTGCTCCTCAGCTGCCTGCCCTGTCCCCTGGGGGGGTCTGTGCCCCACGGGACCCTTACCAAGGTACTGTAGGGTGAGGCCTCAGTACGTGGCCACGTTGACGAAGAGCACCATCTTTCCTTCGTAATTCCTAAAGGGGATGTACTCGTCCCCGTGGATGGTCAGGGCCCCGTAGTCGTAGATGGTACCCTGCACCGAGCCGTAGCATTTCACCTGTGGGACAGGGAGCACCCCACGGGATCAGGCTGGGGGCTTCCAGCCACCCCACAGCCACCCACGCCCACCGGAGCAGTGGGTCCAGCCCTGGCACTGGCTGAGATGGCAGCTGCCAGCGTTCTGTCTCCTGCCCGAATTATGCTGGCAGCAGCCGGGCTCTGGCATGCCAAGGTCGCGGTGGTGGACCAGGCTGGCTTCTGCATGCACATGCGTGTGCACACATGTGCACGCCTGGCCAGGGGGGCTGGCTGCAGCTGGAGGGATGTTTACCCGGCCAGGGTCAGGCAGGAAGGCGAGAGGCTGGAAAACAGCCTGAGCTGGCGAGCCAGCACAGGGGGGACACTAGCCCCAGCCTTCCGAGCGTTGTGGGTGGGCAGGACCCCAGCCCCCCTGCATGCACCCCTCTGGAGCAGGGGCAGCCGGGGTGCCCAGGAACGGGATGACCAAGCTGGGCCCAGGCGAGAGAGGGATCAGGGCTGGATCAGAGCCGTGCAGGGAAGGGCTGGGGTGGAGCAGCCTCTGCTTGCGGTGCTGCAGGGGTTAACCCAGGGGAGCCCATCTCCTGCTCCCATCAGGAGACCCAGGCTCATCCAAGTGCCACCGAGGGGTTATTTTGGGAGCTGGCAGGAGATAAAGTCACAGGGGCTCTGCCCAGGGAGCTCAGCCTCTGTGGGGCTGGCCGGATCCTGGTAGCGGGGCTCTGCTTTGTTGGGGGGGTCTGGGGGTGACAGTCACCCCTGCTCCCAGCTGACCAGGGTGCAGGGACACGGCAGCCCCTGCACCCTCCAAACATGGGTGCACCCCCCTGGACACTATGCATGGAACAAAAGCCCCATGCTCTGCCCCTGTGGGGGTCATTGGGGAGGGGGGCACACACGCAAGGCTCTGTCCCCAACCCCAGGACAGCAATTCCCCCTTTAGAATAATTAGCTCAGAAAAATTCCCCCCCACGATCCAGGCACTGGAGGAGGGTGGTGGGGGGGGGGGGTGTCACAGTGCCACCGTGCCCCACTCCTGCCCCTGGGAGCTCTGCAGCAAGCCTTGGGGACAGGCGGGTCCCCAGGGTGCCACATCCCCCCCAGCTCCCCGCAACCCCCCGTGGGGTTCCCTCCCCCCACACCCCACCCCACCCCCATCTTACCTTCTCCCTCTCCTGGCTCTGCCCCGGCTGGACGAGCCCAGCCAAGAAAAGGGGCAAAATCCAGGCGCTGCGGGACCAGCCCCCCATGGTCGGGGCGGGCGTGGGGTGCAGGCACCCCTCTTCACACCCCCCGGGGGAGAGCGGCGGTGGTGGTGGGGACACACACACACACACACACCCCTCTCCCTGTCGCCTTCTGCCACCTCGAGCCCGACAGCCGAGAAATAGCTGCTGGGCTGAGCCGGGGGGGGGGAGCCAATCGCCGGGAGGAAGGACGGGCTGCGTTAACCGTCTGGGCCCTGGGACGGACACGGCGGCGGGGGGGGGGGGGCTGGGGGGGGCGGGGGGGGCCAGGGTGGGTGGCAGTGCCATGCTGGCACCTCGGCGCGACAGGGACGCGGGACACCCGCGAAGACACGGGGCAGCCACATGTGCCGGGGTTTATGCAACGTGTTACACGAACCGAGGACCTGGGGATTAAAAACCCACACGGTGGGAGAGGTGCCAGGCAACGTGTCCCGTCGTCCCCCCCCCCCACCTCCCCACCTCCACCCCGCTCAAGGCACCCAGCCGAGGTGACACCCACTCCCGAGTGGGGTGCTGGGGCCCGAGGAGCAGGAACCAAACCGCCCCAGGAGCATCCCCAGGGAGGCAGGGCGGGGGGTCCCGTGTCCTCCCCTATCTGTGCTGCTCACGGGTGGGGAAGGGTTGATGAAGCTTCTCTCCTTTGCAGCCCAGAAAATTAGGGTGCTCCTAGAAGCAGCCCTGGAGTAGGGTCCCTCCCAGGGGGTGCTGTGCTGGGGTTGGGGGGCCACAGCACTATGGTGACCCCGTTGTGGCCAAGGGCAGGACACTGCTGTCCCTTAGCCCTTGGTGGCCCCCAGGGGCAGGAGTTTCCAGGGCTCTGTTTGCATACCCGGGGAATACAAATATTTACCCTGGTCTGGCTCCAAGGGAAATAGCCATGATGAGGTGTAAATTCCCTGAAATGCCACCAAAAAAAAAAAAAAAATATTGATGGGAGAATAAACTGTCTGGAGAGGAGCTGGGAGGGGGGCTGTGGTTTGGGGTGGGGGACAGAGGGCAGGATGGAGTGGCAGCGGGTGAGCCCCAGGGGGACCATGGGTGCCCGCATGAGATTTGGCTTTACTAGAAAGCAGGGCCAGCCCTGCCAGGGCACTGTCACCGAGCTGGCTGTGGAGATGCTGCCAGGGAATGGGAGTGGGGCCATGGTCTTGGGGGAGGTTGGGAGCAATCTCCCACCTCGTGTCCTTCACCAGCAGGAACACTGTGTCTTGAGAAAGGCTGACGTCAGGCTCAGAGTGCAGCCTCGGCTGCTGTGGGAGGTCTCGGGGTCAGGCACATCCCCCAGGCACCCGGGGAACCCACGGAGCAAGGGAGTTGTGGGTCCCTCTGTCACAGGCAGTGTTTCCCAAAGCTTTAAACCTGCACTGCTACTGGAAAAGTGGCTTAGCCCTGCCCCGGCATGGATCCCTAAGTGGTGTGAGGTGCTCCTCTAGGTCCAGGAAAACCCCTGAGATGCTCAGATGCTGCCTGAGGACTGTCCAGAGCCCAACACAACGCGCCAACGGCTGGGCTGGCTGCAGGGATGCTTCAGTCACCCCTCACGGATGTGGCCGTGGGCAGCACAAGGCGGCTCCTTGCCAAAACCAGGGAGCCTATGGGAGCCAAAACCAGGGGCTTGACTCTCCCCACCCACTTCCCAGGCTCTGGGGAGATGTGGGGCAATGGGGCCGTAACTCCTGGTCGACATGCTGTTTACACCTCGCTGCATCCTGCAGCTGACGGGGACTGGTGTGTGCCCAGCATGGTGCCACGCTCCCCGGCCAGCCCACGCTGCTCATCCCAGCCAGGGCTTGAGCCGCTTCCCAGGACAGAGCTTGGGAGCTGCTCGGGGCTGCACTCCCTGCCCCACTAGTTCCCACCACTGCAACAGGCATCCACTTCTAATTATATCCCCTAATTGGCTGTGGGGGGCTTTGGTGGCTTTCCCGTGGTTAACAAGGGCTTGTGAGGCCAGCACATGCAACGGTGGCACAGTGTGGTTGTGTCCCTTTTGCATGTCCCTGACCCCCACCACATGCAGAGAAATGCTGAGCCACTCCTGAACTGTGCTTTCCTAAAACCAAAATAAAAATAAGGGGCCTGTGTCTCCAAGTCCCCTCTCCTTGGGTCCTGGCGCCGAATCAGTCTCATTGGAGCTGGGGAAAGGGGGAAGATTTAATGAGACACAAACCCCATCTCTGCTATTGAGCTTCTGTGGGACCCTGGGCATGTCACCCTGCCATGCCATGCCATGCTGGAGGCAGCATGGGAGAGCCAAGGGTGCTGGGTGCTCCAGCAAAGCTGTCCGAGGGCATGCTGCTCCACTCTGCAGGATCAGGGCCCCCCACCCCAAATGACAGGCGCGCTGGGCGGCCTGACCCTCCCACGAACCTTCCCTCCTCGGTTGTTTTTCCACCAGAGCCTGGCTGGAGCCAGCCCCCGCCTGCTGCAGATGTTTGGCAGGAGTCCGAGGGCGGGAGGCCAAGCGCTTCCAGCCCCCTTGGCCGTCATGCTGCCGCTGCCACCAGCCTCCCTGCCTGTCCCCAAAGCCACAGGCCGGGGGCTGCAGGGACCTCACACCAGGCTGCAGGGCCATGGTGAGCACAGGGAACATGAAACCAGCAGTGGGAACCACGTACTGCTGCTGGCTGGGCTTGTCCCAGAGCCGAGCAAGGAACTTCTTCCCTGCAGAGTGATGGGGACGGTGCCAGCAGCGTGCCAGGGACAGCAGCGAGGGGCTCGGGCAGCAGCAGGCAGCATTGCCCCGGCTGGCAGCCGCGCGGCTTTCCTTCTGGCAGCCTGGCACAGCATCAATCCTGGGGCAACCTCTGAACTTTTGTTCTAGGTGTGCAACAGGAAGGCAAAAGCAAAACAAGCTCTGTCGGGCAAGAGGCCCCAGCTCCCCCGGCACCAGGCTTCTTCCACACTGCCCTCGATGCTCTGCTCCAGCCTGTGTGCTCCCCAGCCCTGGCTCGATGGCATCCCCTGGGCTATGGCTGCTGGTGCTGCCCCCTCCAGTATCCCCATCCCTTCCTCTCCCAGGTAAAGATTTGCCCCCTGCAGAAACGCCCCTGGTCCATTGCCCCCCACCCCAAGGGGACAGGGGCACGCAGTGATCCCCTGCTGCTGAGCAGGGCAGGGGAGATGATGGCTGCTGCATGCTGCTGCTCTCCCCTCCGGCACCAGGTCCCTCCACAAGCACTCAGCCTCACATGAATTTGCTCCTCCAAGGCTGGGAAAGGATTAACCCACCAACTACAATGTTTGCAATGTGCTGCTGGAGACCCCACTGTAGCCTGGAGCGCAGAGGGCGGTTTGAGACCCTGTAAACCTCCCTTTGGGGCCATGGCGCTTGTGTTTGGGTCCTGTACCACCAGTTACTCCAGAAAACGCTTCCCTCGCAGCACCCAAGATGTTTGGGGTCAGCTCCTGCCAAACTATTGCTGCTGGGCAGGGAAGCATCCCGGCAGATGGTGAATCACCTCGGCACCTGCATCACGCCTGCCTGCCACAGCATCACCACTGCAGGACCTGCTCCCCAATGGGCAGGAAAAGGCATTTTTCCCTCAGCAAAATGCCACACAAATTCTGCCTCCAAGCTCCAGCAGTGTTCAGGCGCCAAAGCCAGGGCTGCGGGGAGATTTGCTTGTCTTGCTCAATCCTGGAGGAGGAATTTCCAACTCAATAGTGCACGTCAGTCTATATTCATTCCCCTATTTTCATGTTTTAGCAATGTCCCAGCTTCTCCCTGCTCTCCCCCTCACTCCAATTTTGCTCCACATAGTTTGTTGTTGTCATGAGCAAACCCCTTTCCAAGGCTTTGCAATACCTTTCCTGGAAATGTTTGCCACAGGCTTGAAACTTCCCAGAAAACTCCTACCATGAAAGGAAACCTCTCATCCCCCCAGCGGCTCATGACAAGGGGCACGGGGAGGTGAGAACAGCCACCAGGCCTGGCTGCAGGGATGGGGGAGCTTGCATGCTTTTGATCAGGTGTTTTGCTCCACACCAGGCTTCCTTCTCAAACCGCTCCAATATTTGTGGTTTCTTTCCTATTCCTCTTATAGTGAAGCTGCTCAGCTCCAGTTCCTGGTTCCAGATGCTGCTGGCTGTCCCCACACGTGACAGTGTCCCCACGGAAGGGACACTGGGGTGGAGCACAGAGGGGAGGCAGATCCGGGACTGCTTCCACTCAGCACAGCTGTAATCTCCTCCAGCTGCTGCCTCTGCACTGTGCCAGAGAGGGAGGGAGAGAGGGGGAACAACAGGAAAATTACTCTGGTTATTTGCTTCAGATTCTGCAACTTGAGAGGGGAATAGAGACAACAACTCAAAGCAGAAATTTGTTGCTGGGCCAGGCAAGGAATACATGTTCCCTCCCTCCCCGACACAACTGCAGCCCGTGTCTCCAGCACAGGCATTTCCGCGCTCCCCAGGGGCTGCAGCCCTGCACTGGGCTCCCTCCCCAGGGAGGGGGGCATCTGCCCAAGGTCCAGCTTCCTTGGGAACCTTCTGCCCCTCCAGCCCTAACGCCAAAAGCAAACCCAATGATGGCTGTCATGGAACAAGCCATAGAGGGATAAGACTCAGGGCTTCCAACATCATGGAGCCCCATCATGGTTGCTCCTTCCAGCAGAGAATTTAAACAATTCCCACCAGCATCACCATAGTGTTTCCCCACATCCCAGACTGATTCATCTCATTAGTCATGACCTTTCTTACCGTGAATCACCTGGATAGTGTTTCAGCCCCAGGACTCCTGCCACATGCCAGAGCCCACCACGAGAGGCTGGCAAAGGGGAGCAATGCTGGTCACCCGAGCAGGAGAAAAGTGGTCATCACCGCTGCCAGAAAGACCCTGGGGATCCTTCCCACTCACTGCCTGACAGTCACTGCTGCTATTGCAGCCAAATTCAGGTTTGCACTCCAGGAGTGCAGGGCTGGGCTGGTAGTGTGCCTCCTGTGGGGACACGGCCACCAGGCTCAAAAGCTGGGCAAGAACCCCAGGGACCTCGAGCGAAGGTGGTGCAGGTCAGCGCTGGGAGGGCTTTTGGAGAGGCTGAAAAGTATCTCAGATCCTGTGCACCATCTGTAGTGTGGACAGAGCCACATGACACACTCACATGTAGAATAAAATCGATTTATTTCGTAGCAAGGGGAAACGTAAGAGCTTACATGGTCCCTTGCCACTGCGAACCCCTCTGCTCCACTCACTTTGCCTGCCAGGCGAGGGGCATAGAGACCCCCCCTAACAGGGCAGGCATGCCAGGGGAGTGGTGGGGGCTCTTGACATCAGCAGGAGCTGCCCACACTTCTCTGCCCCATGAGACCCAGAGGAACCAAGCACCTCATAGGGCTTTCCTAAAATTTCAGGAGATATCTGACAAAGGAGAAACCAGTGCCAGCTGTGCAGTGAGGACAGGCTCTGTCACCGATGCTTTTAGCCGAGTCTCTGAATGCACAACCAGAAGCCACATCTATCTTGCTTTCCCAACCACCCTAACAGCTGGAACTCCAAAGAAGAAATAACTTTGCCAGGCATTTCCACTCCTTGCTGCTTGCCTGGGAGGAGACAGGGCCGTCAGCGAAGGTGAGACCAGCCTGCCTGCCTCATGGGAGCGAGTAGTTTCTAGCTGGACATGTCCACAAAGTCACACGTCTCCCCACTGGTGCCCTGGCCAGCATCTCCCCGATGGTCCCCGTGAGCTCGGTGGGTAAATAGGAAGCAGTGGGTTCACCCAGTAAGAACCAGGTACGGGGACAGGCATCTGGGTGCTGGCCCACCCCAGCTCCTGCCTATCCCCAGCTCTCCAGGTGCCCCATCGGGCTCTGTGGGGTCCCACAGCTGTGACCCCCTGACTGGCAAGCTGGCTGTCCCTCGTTGCCTCTGCCTCACACGATGCCATTGCGTGTGGGGTGAGTCCGCACCCGGTAGATGATGACGGCAGTGGCCGGGCAGAGCACCAGGGCCGTCATGACGAGGATGGTGGCCAGGATGATCAAGACAATGACCCAGATGTCCAGGATGTGCTTGGGGAGGGCGGCAGGACCTGCAGGGACAGGGAGGTCCATCCTGCAAGGGAGAGGCAGAGGGGTGATGGGGTAGCTCCCTCCATCTCTCCCATAGCCAGAAACCCCCCCGTTGCTCTGAACACCCTGCTGCTCTCTCCAAGGAGACCACATCCAGCCACATCCAGCATTGGTCTCAGGCTCCTTTGAGAGCAAAGGGCTTTGGTAAAGGCTCTTTCAAGAAGCCACAGGACTTACAGGGCGCTTTGATGCGGCTGGGTAAAAGTCCAGGGAGAAACTTCCCTGTTAATTGCTACCGTTGTTAAAGGAGCTGATAAAGCAAAGCCACAACCAGGTGTCCCACCGGTCCCTCACGAGTGGGTTATCGGATGGGGAAACGATGCGACCGGGACAACCGGAGCCCCCCTCGCCTCGGGGTATCGCACCTCGCTCCCCCCACCCCCGCCCCGCGGTGCCTCCTGCTGAATCACGGAGTTAATAACTTAATTAGCAGCCGGGGTCGGGACTGAGCACCTCTCCTCGCTGCCTTTCCTTCGGCCACCCCTGCGCGGGTCCCGCAGAGCCACCCTCCACCGCGCCGGGGGGCCGAGAACACCGGGCTGAGCCCCCCCCCGCAACCACCGGGGCAGCCCGGGGATGGGGGGGACGAGCCCCCGCCGAGGGGAGGAGGTGTTAGCAGCAGCCTGCCCGCCCTGCCCGCCCCGCATCCCCTCTACCTGAGGCGCTGCCCGGCTCCGGCTCCGGCTCCGGCTCCGGCGAGAAGCGGCGGGATCCCCGCCGGGGGACGGAGCCTCCGCCCGGCCCCGCCCGGCCCGGCCCGCGGGGGGCGGCGGGGGAGGGGAGGAAAGGGGAGGGGAGGGCACGCAGGATCTTTTGTCTTCACCGGGATAAAGCAAGAGCAGCACCCCCCCCACACACACTCATGCTCCCCGCCCCCAGGACAGCGTCCCACCGGGGGAGACCATCTGGGGCCAAACCCGAAGGTTTCAGGTGCCGGGGGAGAGCATGGTGGGGACATTTCACAGCACAACAGCTTAATAAAGGGGTTTTCCTCTGGCCCGTTCCCCTCCTGCCTCAGCAACAGCAAAGGATCACATGTGCCCACTTGCCTCCGACGCCCAGGGCAGGAGGGAAAACCAAAACACCAAGAGCCTCCACAGAACCCCAGCAGCGAGGGGCCAGCCAGCACTCCCCAAGGCTTTGGGGCAGGGTTGATGCACTGAGACATGGGCATAGAGGATCTCTAGGGAGGTGGCAGACCTCAGCCCACCCGCTGGGAACGACGTTCCTGCTGCCCAGTGGAATATTCTGCTCCGCCGGTGATGTTCTGATGGGGTGGGATGTTCTGATTTTCTTGCTGGGGCACAAGACCAGTGTCACCCACAGTGGGACCCATGCACTCCATCCTTCACTGCTGCCTCTCCTGGGAAACCTGCTGGAGTCCTGGTGAGGAAAACCACCACCACATGCTCTCAGACACCCCTGGCCTCCGGGCACTTCTCAGGCACACAGCTCCCTGCTCCCCTGGGAGCAGCGCACAGGCAGCTGGTGGGCAGCCTCTTCTCTGACACTCCAGCAGCACGTCCCCCTCCAGCTGCTGCTTTCAGATAAGAAGCACACTGGGTTCTTATCACAAGCGGCAGCAGCAGATGGTTGTGGGCAGGGGTTTCCTCTGGAGCCTCACAGGCAAGCGGCAGGCGAGGGCCCTGTGGGGACAGGCATACAGGGGTGAGCGATGCCACGGGCCGTGGCATGATGGATGCTTGGGCAGCATGCCTAGAAGCAAACCGGTGTGGTTTGCTAATGCAAGCTCTGCCCTCTGGACACAGTGCAGCACAGCATAGAAATCATAGAATGGTTTGGGTTGGATGGGACCTTAAAGATCATCTAGTCCCACCCCCCCTGCCATGGTCAGGGACACCTTCCCCCAGCCCAGGGTGCTCCCAGCCCCGTCCAACCTGGCCTTGAACCCTTCCAGGGAGGGGGCAGCCACAGCTGCTCTGGGCACCCTGGGCCAGCGCCTCACCACCTGTACAGGAAAGAATTTATTCCTTATACCTAATCTAAATCTGCCCTCTTTAAGTTTAAAACTTACCCCTCATCCTATCCCTACACCCTCCGACCGAGACTCCCTCCCCACCTTCCCTGTCCCCCCTTTAAGCACTGGCAGCCGCTCGAAGGTCTCCCCAAAGCCTTCTCTTCTCCAGGCTGAACCCCCCCAGCTCTCTCAGCCCGGCCTCCCAGGGGAGCTGCTCCAGCCCCCCCAGCATCTCCGTGGCCTCCTCTGGCCCCGCTCGAGCAGCTCCGTGTCCTTCTGCTGTTGGGGGCCCCCGAGTTGGCCCCAGCGCTGCAGGGGGGTCTCCCCAGAGCGGAGCAGAGGGGGGGAATCCCCTCCCTGGCCCTGCTGCCCACCCTGCTCCGGGTGCAGCCCAGGGCACGGGTGGGTTCTGGGCTGCAAACGCACATTGCTGGGCCATACTCAGTTTTCCATCCACCAACACCCCCAAGTCCTTCTCCACAGGGCTGCTGTCCACCCGCTCCTCGCCCAGCCTGGATTTGTGCTTGAGATCACATCTAGAGATCTCACACTTTTCTGCTGATCCCACGACGCAGGGAAGGGGTGGGGGTTGTTTGTTTGTTTGTTTGTTTGTTTTTGTTGGGATCCCATCCTAGCGACCGAGAGGCTAATGAGAAACCACCTTTGGGGCGCGAGTCAGTCTGGCACCTCGCGGGCTCAGAGGGGAGCGTGGGCGGCAAAGGCTCGGGGAAAGCAAACGGGAGGAGCGCGTGAGAGCCTTGAAAGCCCGTGGGCGGGCAGCGCCAGGCCCCCCCCCCCCCCGCGCCGCCGCCGCCGCCATTACGCGCCGCAGCCACCGCCCCGTCCCGCAGGGGTCACGTGGGCGGGGCGGCGCGGTGACGTCTGACGGCGGCGGCACGGCGGCCGCCCCCTTCTCAAGATGGCGTCGCTGCTGCAGTCGGAGCGGGTGCTGTACCTGGTGCGCGGCGAGAAGGAGATGCGGGCGCCGCTGTCGCAGCTGTACTTCTGCCGGTACTGCAGCGAGCTCCGCTCCCTGGAGTGCGTCTCACACGAGGTAACAGCGGCCCGGCCGCGCCGCGCCCGCCGCCCGGCCGGGAACGGGGCGGGGCGTCGCCCTCCCTGCGCGCATCGATTGGGTGGCTCTCCTGCCGCTCACTGGCTACCTGCTTTGCTATTGGCTGTTGTTGCGGCTAAGGGGTGGGCACAGCAGTGCCTCCATGGAGCGGGGTGATTGGCAGCGGATGAGGGAAGGGGCGGTGCCTTGCGTTGGATTGGTTCGGTGCGCCTGTCCGTCGGCGGAGTCCGGGCTGTGATTGGTTGAGGTGCGCGCCCTAGGGGAGGGAGCTGTCGCGACAGGCGGCTTCCCCTCACAGGGGGATGTGCCGCCTGCCTTGCTTAGGGCCGCGCTGCGTGGGAGCGGCCCCTCCGTGGGCGAGATTTGCTGCCGAGGTGTGCTGGCCTTCGCAGCAGTCACAGTAACAGAACCCGCACCTTCCGGCAGGGCAGGTGTGGCAGAGCTCGTTTTGAGAATGGAGTCGGGGTTGAGGGGGTTTGGTGTGAGGTTATTTCCACATGGACAAGGTTTCCCCACCGAGTTATGCAGTGAGATTTCAGCTGTGGAGGGTTTCTTCTTTGTCCAGGAATGGCTGGAACCTCAAGCTGCAGTTTATCATCAGACTGCTGGTGTGTGGGGCCTGCCAGGAGCACTAGACCACGGGCAAGCCTTGAGCCCGGGGCTGCTCGTGTGACTTCACAAGTTGCCATAATGAAATTGGTAACATTGATTTTGTGGAAGTCTGGGTGAATTAAGAAATTATGATAAGATTTGAAAAACCTTCAGAGAATGACTGTGCAACCCAGATCTCGGGAGAGCTATCTCTTTGGAAACATTAAAGGCTCTAAAGAGTAGAAAATAGATTTGTCACCACGCTGCATCTGCCATGAACTTGCTATAGTGTGCCAAGAGTAGTCATTGTGCATTTCCATGTTTAACAATTGATTAATTTTTCCCTTCAAGAAGGGGACCCCCTTCTTTCTACTGTTTTAATTGACAAAATTAGTTTGTGACAGCAGACAAATACAGAGTGTTTTCTGAAGTATATGTGTATCTGATTAGTGTAACTACAAGAGCAGAGTAAACTTAAGTATAAATGGAAAATAATATATTAAAACCTGTTGTTCAAGTTGGAAATTTAAATTCTGATAACTGCAGATGGTCAACACCTAGTTGTCCTTTTCCCTTTTACTAGGCAGAGTAGTTTAATCTATCGTGACTTAAGAAACCTGACTTACATTTTTAAAGGTCAAAATCTGGCTGAGATGGGCTAAGATTTCAGATACCAAAAGATGTCTCAAGTCTTCCCTGTCTTCGCTTGTCTGTTGCCAGACACAAAGCCTTGTTAAACTACGCGGCAGAGTTTCAGGCTGCTGCGAGCAAGCTGTCTAGACAAACGCGTGCCAGGAAGTTTGATGTGACTGTCTTGTTCATCAGGTGGACTCTCACTACTGCCCCAGCTGCCTGGAAAACATGCCTTCAGCTGAAGCCAAGCTGAAAAAGAATAGGTAAGGTTGCTTTGGCTTTTTTCATAAGACTCCATGTTTTAAACAGCTCCTTCCTTAACACCTGACCATGTGTGTCTGAAACTCTTTTCAAAAATTACATCGCTTCTTGTTACCTTTTAGTCTGTTTTGGGGAATAAGTGTCTTTCCGCGATATATCATGTGCTCTTCATGTTTTAGTTTTTTTGATTACCTGCTCCCATAATACAAAGAGTTTTTTAGTATCACCCAGTATTTCTCACTGCTGCTATTCTTATGTTGACTCTGAACCCCTCTTGTTCCCATTGATGGCTCTGTTGCCCCTTTTCCTTAATGCTGTTGTGTAAGGTCTGTTTTACTCTTGATTTGCTTGTTGAGAGCGTTTTCCTCAGCCTGGGACCCTTGTCAGAGCACTGCCTTAGAGACCCTCTTCTTTACAGGTGTGCTAACTGCTTTGACTGCCCCTGCTGCATGCACACCCTTTCCACCCGGGCCACGAGCATTCCTGCTCCGCTCCCTGATGACCCGGCAAAGACTACCATGAAAAAAGCTTATTACTTGGCCTGTGGATTTTGCCGCTGGACTTCCCGGGACGTTGGCATGGCGGACAAGTCTGTTGGTAAGTGACAGTCAAAGACAGAAAACTGAGTGACAGCAGAAGTCCAGTATATGTTTTGAAGGTAACAGATAACCAAATTAGTTTCTGGCAGTATGATATGTATCATATCGGTCTAGGTTTTGAGTCACAGTTCAGAATTCACAGGAAAATGGTTTGTTGCTGAAGTCTCATCTGCAGAGCTGAGATGAGTTAATGGAACGTGTGACCCACTTCCATGCTGATGGTACCTGACTAGCGAGAAACCTGTCAAATGAGGGGCTTTTTCAGTTGGTGCGTTCTCACCATGGTTGAGATATTGTTTGTGTACCTTCAGAGTCTCTGAAGCTGCTCAGTCTTGATAATGTAAACATCTAATTTATTTTCTGTCACTTATGTTCACTTTGGCTTATTCCAGAGTTGCTAGTATGTTTGTACTTGGTTTTTCTCTTCGTGACAGCACTGGAATAAAGCTTTCATCTATTTCTTGGTGCATAAGACAGGCAGAAAATACCTGTTGGACTCCAGAAATGGGGCCAAGTAGACCAAGCAGTGTTGATGTGACTGAAAACTGGGAGCTGAAGATGCAGGGACATGGGCAGCCAGAATTAAGAGCTCTTGTAAACTTATGTACCTGGTGCTAAAGTAACTCTTAGGTGCTGTTCTGAGTATGTCTCAAACAGCAGTTGTTTAAAAGCAGAGTATAAAAGCTGGTGAACCGCCTTCAGCCCAAAACTGCTTGTGAAAAGCTTTCAGAATTGTGTATTTGTGTAGGCATGAACTTAAGGAATTGCAACGTTAAGTGTAGCAGAAATAGGGAATGTCATATTTCATGAGTAAAACCAAGATAGTTGGGTGTTAGATGTGATTTCTGTGTGGAGTCTGGAAATCTTCTTTTGAGGAGTTTGGCTTTTTTCTCTTTTCTTGTGCAGCTAGTGGTGGCTGGCAGGAGCCGGAGAATCCTCACACACAGAGGGTGAGTGAAGGGGAAGGCTGTTCTTAGGCTGAGATGAATCAGCTAGAAAGAGCTGTTAGAGGCGCCAGGTCCTCTCAATCATTTTTTTTCTGCATCTATATAATCCTTCAGATACCAGTTCCAGTTCCTAATCTGCACCTTGACTGAATTCAATGGAAGGAAAGCCTCTTAGAGGCTCTCCCATGGATGCCGCAGTATAAAATCTTCTTTTCAGAAGAAACTCATTAGCAAACATCATATCTAATAGTGTTAAAACAACACCAACAAGTATGCTGCGTATGTATGTGAACAAAAGCTGTTTTCCAACCAAGAGCATGTCTAGGATCTGGAAAACAGAATTGCACCTTTACTATCCTTCTCTGTCACCAGTTGGGGGTCTGCACTAAATGTGATCAGCCTCAGGGGTGGGGGGGAAGATGCTGTTTGCTCCACTAATGCAAATTGCTCATTTTTGGCCACGTGACACTACTCTGTCCAGTCATGGCAAATGCGTGAACAAAGTCTCAGTTGCCAGACTGCAAAGTGAGAATTGTATGTTGCTCTCCAATAGACGTCATTCCCCAAGGAGGGTCAGTTTGTCACCCACAGTGTGGGTTAAGTCACAGAGGCTTTTTAATGTACATCCTTCAAAATACAGCTAGTACTAAGAACAGAGTGAAACAAGTAGCAGGAACCCCAGCTTCTTCACAAACAAATATGGCAGCTGGTCTGACATTTGTTCCCTATTCACTGGGTATATGTTCCTTTTCATTCCTCCAGATTAACAAACTGGTTGAGTACTACCAGCAGTTGGCTCAGAAGGAGAAGATCGAGCGAGATCGGAAGAAGCTGGTGCGACGCAGAAACTACATGCCCCTGGCCTTTTCGGTGAGCTGGGAGTACAGTGTTCTCAGAGCAGGAGAAGTGATGCGCAACAGCTTCAGCTTGAAAGATTAGATAGTTGGTAACACGATAGGGCTGCTCATTTTTTTTTTTTTTTTTTTAATTGAGAACAATGTGAAGAAAATGTGCCAGGGCACATGAGTTTCTTTAGGGACGAGTAGTTTTACACCCATTGTGTATTACAATGCCTCTCTTTCTAACAGTCAGTCCCCTCTGATAATGCCAGAAGGGTTTACACTTGCCATGCAAAGGAGTATGTTATTCAGCAGTGAAATGCAGTGCAACCGCAGTGACAATACCAGTGGTAGTTCTTTCTCAGGACAGCTACATACCACAGCTTGGTAACTGATCAGGATTGTCTGGCACTTTTCTGCATTAAGTCTCAACTGAAAATAACCTTAAGACTTGGTTGTGGCCTGAGTGACTTGTTTATTGTAACTGGCAGGTAAATGCTTACTTTGTTTAGCTGGGTGACTCTGCATATGCTTGCTACTTCTCAATTAACTGTGCTTGCTCTGTGCCCTTGCTTGTGTCTTATGGCTGCATTTTTTGTCTCCGTTGCTACCTGCTGCTATTTTGGGCGCTCTCCACAGCAACACACTATACACGTAGTGGTAAGTCTTTTCACAGTTTCTGCTGGTGTTAAAGCTCTCATGGTACCAAATGAAGGGGAATAACAGATTCTACTCTTCAGCTTGCCTTAGGGCCTCTGACTTGGATGTGCCTAGAACAAATGCACGTGAAGGTTAACTAGTTAGAGGGTAACATTTGTTACAAAAAAGATATTTTTTGTTAGGTTACAAAAAGGGCAATGTCTTTGGGTAAATAATGTACACTTGAAAAGCAGTCCTTCACAAAGCTTGGCTGAGACGCAGCCATCTGTCTGCCTGAGGCAAATAGCACTAACATTAATCTTCTGATCCTTGAAAAATCACCAGGGTAGGCTGATGCTGAGATTCCTCATTTGAGAATTCAGGTTTTCGGTCCTGCCCAGAAGGAAGATTTCTGCCTCCAAGCACCCTGTGTACAGTTCAGCAATAGAAAGCTGAGGAGCAGCTCAGCTGTTCCTGCTGAATGGTGGTGCCTGGTGAGAGACCTGTAGGTAACAAGGTTTGTAGGAGGCTGAACCTTCCAGCTGCTTCTGGTAGTGCTACAGAGCATTTCAGATGGATACATACCCACATCGACCTAGTTCTTTTGGCAGTTGAGCTCTCATTCTGCACTACTTGACATGCAATTGCTCTGAAAAGAAGATCAAGGGAAAATGTGTCAGTAGTGCAGGCTGGTGATGTGAGGAAGGAGCAAAAGCTTTGTAAGCGGTAGCTGCATACATCTGTCTCTCCCCATCTGCAGTGCAGTGGTAATTGCTTTCTTCTTACTAACAGTCTGAGCAGGAAAAAAAAAAAAATCTGGGGAAGCATTGAATACCTTTCCTTTTTTGCTTTCCTTTGCTTGTCTCCCTATGCTTGTCATGCAGCTCAGAGGATGAGTTTGCAGCAGGTTTTTTTGTCCTGGCAGGAAGCAGACCTGAAGCTGACAGTTGCTTTTTTTCTTGTAGGACAAATATGGCCTTGGAACCAGGCTTCAACGGCAGAGACCCGGAGCACCGATCAGTGCCCTCGCTGGACTCTCGTGAGTCTTGGGCTCGGGGTTACCTTTGTGGAAAGGATAGGAGGTGTAGGCGAGAGAGCAACTTCAGAAAGATGATGAACATATTAGCAGATAGCAGTGAAAGGAGCTTTCTTCTTTGGAGTGTTAGAGAGATGTCAAATCACTGGGCATCTCTGTGCAGCAGCTCCGGATGCGTTGCTTTCTCCTAAGAGAAACAAGTGACTGCTCACATCTCTGTGGAGTTAGTATTGTCGTGCAATCTCAGCTCTCAGTGTCTTCTGTGTTATAATGCAGTTACTGCTATTGCTGTCTGTTAGAGCACATGTGCTGTATTTTATGACTGAGTTGTCCCTCACTTTGCTTCAGCCTGAAAGAAGGAGAGGACCAGAAGGAGATCAAGATTGAGCCAGCTGATGCAGTGGAAGAAGTGGAACCTCTTCCTGAGGATTATTACACAAGACCAATCAATCTGACAGAAGGTAACACCTTAATATTCAGTTACTTTTTGCTCTTACATTTTATAACATGGGCAGTGCCTGGAAACTTGTCTGCAGGGTTCCCAATGGCCTGAGATTTTAGTAATTTTTATGCAGGGATTGAAATGGTTGGAAATTTGTGACTAGTTAAATGCTAACTTTGAATGCAGCCTCAGCTTCATGTTGTACATGGAAAGCTCTGAGCCAGATACGTCAGGCCTCTTAACGGTTGTTTCATTTTCTTGCTGACCTTAAATTCTCTGTGTGTGAAGTGTCAACTTTTGGATGGAGAAAAGAGCTGATGTTCTTTTTCAATAATAGCAGGAAATAAGGAAGTAGCTGAGCTGCTGGGGAGTTGGAACCAAAACTGACCTATTAAGTAACAATTGCGTATTTCTTTGACATCAGCTTGGAACAGCTTGTGTATACTTGCCAGTTATTTAGCTGACTCATGATTTAACCACAGAAATTGTAAATTGGTCAATGAAACTGAGCGAATGGGATAAAACAGCAGGTACAGGAAGCAATGTGGACTTCCTGCTGAGGTGGCTCTAAGTAGGACAGATGTTCTTGGTGGTCCTGCAGGCCTACAAAGTCCGCCAATGTTAATTAATTCATGAAAGGTTTATGGAAAGGAGTAGATCATCTTGGTCACCTTTTCTCCTGAGACTGTCAGCATTGTGAGAGTACGGTGCTGATAAAGAAGGCAACTTCTGTGGTTCTCCGCAGTGAGGGAAAGGCTGCCAGGTGGCTCCCTGCCTCTTACACACTGGGAACAGTGAGGAGCCTGGATTTTTGGGAGAAACCCATGGGAAGTTTGGCTACTGGGAGTTCCTTGCCTCGGGAACTATGCAGTCACTAATTCTATGCGTGAGTCTGAGTTATGGAAAATCCTGGCTGAGAAGCTGTATACTGTACTTGTGCAGCACCCAGCTGTGAGGGTAACAAAGCTATGAAAACTCATTTGCCCTTGGGGGGAAAGAACTTATTTTCTGAATGATTACAGAATTCTGTTTCCACCCCAGCTGAGCTTTAAAGGGAGGTAAGGGTCCCCTGTTTCTTCTGGGCTGGCACTGATGTTGCTCTCATTGCTGTGCTCAGTCAGGTCAGCTCTCTATACAACTCATACCTTCCATTCATTCACTGTTAGAAGCAGTGATACTTGCCAGTGGCTTTTGAGTTATTGGGTGCAGGTGAAATTCAGTTTCTTAGAGACTGTAGCATGTCTGTGCAGCACACTTGCTCTTAGGCCAGCACATACGTACAGTCTAGCTCAAGTTTCAGTGGCTGAGACATTAATTTGGTCTTCCTTTCTGTTGTGCACCCAGTGACGACTCTGCGGCAGCGTCTGCTGCAGCCTGACTTCCAGCCTATCTGTGCTTCCCAGCTCTACCCACGTCATAAGCACCTCCTGATCAAGCGTTCACTGCGCTGTCGGGTAGGTAATTAAATACAAAAAAAGTGCTTTTTTTCTAACCTCATAGAACTTGGGTTGTGGGAAATGGGCTGTGTATTTCTTTTAAAAAGAAGCTGTTCAAATGCTCCTGTTTGAAAATTCTCAACCAAATTACTAGTAATAGCACTAGGGCATGAGGGAGGCTGTCACATCTCTGACGTGATGAAGATTGTGAAAGAGGTACATTGTCAAAGATGTATAAAGAGACAAAGGTGGGTTTGCATAAGGGTCTGTGTGCTCTGCGTAGCCAAGGAATCAGAAAAGGCTGCCAATACAGTCAGAATTCTGCTATTACTAAAGATAAAATCAAGTCAGCAAACAAGATATTAGTGAGAGGCAGTTCAGGATACTGAAGATGTCTGTAAAGCAAAGGTAGAAAGGGGATATTTCAGAAAAGAAAAGCAGGTCTGGAAAGTGAAGATAGACAAGAATTAAATCCACGTTCTGCTCTTGGCTTACTGTATGGTCTTCAAAAAGTTCCTTTCTCAGTGAAGCAGGGATATTTGTCTAGTTCCCAGAGTAACAGAGCAATATTCTTATAAGTATTTAATATGCAGAATGCAGGATATTTTCTCAGAAATAAGTAATGTCAGACAGAGCCTGTATTTGAAGAGTAACCTGTGAGGAGATCAGTCTTGAGTTCCAGCTGTTTGGTTTTTTTTTAAGGGATTCTGGAATGTAAGGCCTGCAGGTATTTGTGCCTTCTTCCTGCTGCAGTCAGTGAGTGTCAGGTGTTTTAAAGCCTGTCTCCAAATCCTTTGTTTCTGATACTGCAGTGATAGTTCTGGATATGACATTTTTGAAGTATGAGTAGCTTGACACGGCTATGGCTACATACACCCCAAGGTAGTTTTTGTGTACGCTGTACTAGAGGCCGGTAACGTCATGGCTAGTGGCACAGTGCTTGCAGCTCTGATTCTTTGGTCTGTCATTGGGTGCTGTCGTTTGGTGCTGACTAAAATGTCTTTGTGTCTAGAAATGTGAACATAACCTGAGCAAACCAGAATTCAATCCAACATCTATCAAATTCAAGATCCAGCTGGTTGCTGTGTAAGTGAGATATGGGGATTGGGGAGAACAGCCACCTACCTATGCTTAGTTAATGGCTTCTATATTCATTTATTTCATACTCTTTATCTGACCTCTTGCATGACTGCATCATCTCTTAGGATGGTATAATCACTTATTTAATTTATTCATCTTACCTGTAGTAGGCTTGCTTCCTGATCTTCTAAAATGTATGCTGAAGATTTCAGCAGTTTGAAAAAGACATTGCACCTGTGCCAGCCCCACACAGTAGCAGGAGTTTGTAGGATTAGGCTTATATAGCAAAAGGGCACATTTTTCTGTTTAATGTAAGATAAGCTCTAATACCCTTGAACAAGTTAGCTGGATGTCTGTGAAGACATTCCTGTACTTCAGGAGGTTGGTTATAGACAGCAGTACAATCCATCATGGTTATTTGCTTTGTTCTTGTTGTAGTAACTATATCCCGGAAGTGAGAATCATGTCTATTCCCAATCTGCGCTACATGAAGGTCAGTACTTTTTTCCAGAAATATCTTAGGGTGAGACACAGCCGGGAGGTGTGGATGTGGGATCTTTTTGGAAGATGACATGGTGTGATGACTGCTGCCTGAGGGCTTTGCTCACTCCATTTAGAGAGGGTTCAAGGTTTAAGGGAGTGGTTGGAATAACACTGCATATGCTTGTCACTCTGCATGAGTAGATTAGTGTGCAGTGTGACGTCTGGCATCACAGGCACATGCCAATATCTGAACAATAAAAGGTGTGGAGTTGAGATCTTGGCTAGATTCCAAAGATACATATTTCTTATATTAAGAAAGAGCACTGCATGGTATCAGCACCTTTCTTACAGACTGGGGGTGTTCACTATACATCTCTTGAGTGTATGTGATGCAATTTTTGAAGGTGTTGATCAGTCACAGAAGATGGAGGTGCTAACAGTAGTGATGAATTTTAGAGTAACTGATTCTTGAACTGTGATTCCTGAATCTCCCCAGGAAAGCCAAGTCCTTCTGACTCTGACCAATCCAGTGGAGAACATCACACATGTCACACTGCTGGAGTGCGAGGAGGGAGACCCTGACAACGTCAACAGCACTGCCAAGGTCCTGTACCCTCCTGCTGTGTGAGCCCAGGCCTCTTCCAAGGCTTTCCACTCCCATTTATCCTTCCACGTGTCACACTTTTTATATGTCCTTCAGTCCCTGCTGACTATTGCATTTTCCTCCTTCAGCCTTAAATGACAATCACCAATATAAACATCAGCCTATAAAGTATTTTGAAATTGTCTGTTCACTGAGATCCAGAACCCTAGGGAGAAATACATGATTTCACTGGTAGAGTAGTATCCAGGCAGTACTGGAGCACAGGAAAGATGAGGATGAATCACTTTTCTCTTAAAACCATAGTAAAGCAGAAGGGGAAGGAGCTCTCCTACTCACAGTGTAGGTGGTGATCAGTGCTGAAAGGCTTCTCTTTGTGCTCTGTTTCAGGTGGCAGTTCCTCCCAAGGAGCTTATTCTGGCTGGCAAAGATGCTGCGGCGGAATATGATGAGCTAGCAGAGCCTCAAGACTTCCAAGATGATCCTGAGTGAGTGTTGTCTGTCTGTGGGGATCCTGTCCCTTAAAAACTTGGCACTTCAACCAAGTACTTGCTCTCCTCTCTGACTTCAGCATGTTTTGATTTTTTTTTTTTCAGGTGTTCTTTGGCAGGGGCGGGGTGGTGATGGTGATTTTTTTGGGGGAGATCAGCAATGCAAACCTTTCTGCCTGTGGTTTGTACTGTTCAGGAGACATTGTTCCCTTTGAGGCAAGATGTGCTGTTGGAGGTGGAGGTACTAATTCTCTCCAGGAATACCCTGTGTAATCCTTCCCTTCACAAGCAGAGGGTTCATGGTAGCGATGTGTAACAGAGTTGCCTCCAGCCTTCAAAATGGAATACGTCCTGCAGCCTCTTACAGAGTAACTTGAGCTGTGTACTATGGCTCCACAACGCCCGTAGCATGTTTTGTTTGATGGATGTTCCAGCAGCAGTCAGCATAAAGGGGGGTACCCACGTTCTGATTGTGAGGCAGGAGGGGCTGTGGGCCCCCTGCAAAAAGAGCAGCATGGAGTAAGCTACGAACTAGGGCAGCTGTTCTGGCAGGGCATATTCAGCCCACGGGCTGTAAACTGAGCATCCCTCTTACATGGTGTCAGAATAAATCTCTCAGAACAATTGTTGGAGAGCTTGGCTGACCCAGCGTTCTTTTGTTTTCTGCCCTGCAGTGTTATTGCCTTCAGAAAAGCCAATAAGGTAGGAGTTTTCATCAAGGTCACCCCCCAGAAAGAAGAGGGCGAAGTGACCGTGAGTTTCAAGATGAAGCACGAGTTTAAAAACCTCGCTGCTCCAATCCGGCCCTGCGAGGAAGGCGATCATACTTCTGAGGTCATTTGGCTCACCCACCACGTGGAGCTCAGCCTCGGTCCAGTGCTCCCATAAACGCTCCCAACGCTTGCGCCCCGACGGCTGGCCGCAGGACGGACTGTCACAGTCAGAGCACCTGGTGAAATGTTCTGCGAGAGCTCCCGTGTGATGTGTGGGTGTGCGCCACGGGCCCCAGCCGGGCTGCGAGGAGGTGGCTGAGGGTGCTGTGGTTTGGGATGGTTTGTTCTCTCTCCTCTTGTCGTAGTGCCCACTGACTGCCGCTCTGCTTCCCCACACTGCCACAGGCTAGTTTTAACTCGCAGCACGTGTTTCAGCACAGAGAAAGATCTCGCTTTCTCCAGATTGGCACTACACCTGCCTGAATTTGGTTTTATCCCCAGAAAAGAACCCGTATTGTTTTTTTTCTTCATGTCAGCACACAAACCTGATATGTTACATACTTGATAGTGAACAACAACTTTTTCACACAGAGCTAAACCCTTCCTGAACAGACCTTTTAGGAGGTGGCCGTGACTGCTGCATTATTGGCAAGTTACTGGCAGCAGCACGATGCTGTCTTTTGGTTTTCTGCTTCCTCATAGGATACCTCAGCTGTGGGGAATTGGAACATACAACCCTACCGCTCTGGCATACGTAGCTTGCTTAGCTGAGGTGATAGGTCTGTTTTCACAAAGAAAATGATCAGTTTGCCTTTAAACTCAAAACATATTGCACTGCAGTGCTAATGGATCTGACTGGCAAGCAGGCCTGCTGTCAGCCCGCCATGTCACAGGTGGATGTGGTAGCATGATGCGCTGTGAGCTGGGAATACAGGTTCTGCTCCAGCTTTTGACTGAGGCGGGGATGCTCCGGAGGGGCTGCCAGGCAGATCAATTAACATCTTAATAGGGGTAGCGATCTGAGTATGAAACCTGGAGAGTTAAGATTTAGGTCTGGTGTACACAAAACTACAGAGGCTGTTGGAGCTCGTACTCTTGTCTTTTTCCAGTTAGGGTGGGTGGGAGGGAGGTGTAGAGGTGGACAGGCAGTTATACGTTAACTAGCATACACTGTCCATAAGGTAATTTATCTGGGGTGTACTCTGACTGTAGTCCAAGCTAAAATCAGTAATTAAGAGCAGTGTATCCAGGATACCGAATTACCAGTAACTGTGTAGCTTCGTGCACACAGATGAGATCACTCTCCCTGCAGAGTGTTCCCAGTTCAGACATTGACCTTCATTAAACATTTCCGATGGGCTTTGATGTGCTGGGAAAGGCGTGAATATACCAGCCCAGCCGCGGCTGCGTTGCTCAAGACACTCGTGCCGTAGCTCTGCAAACCCTCTGCATGGGGGGGCGGGATGAGGCTGCTCGCTCCTCGGGCACGCCGTGGTGCAGCACCCAAAAACCTGCCTTGGTGTTCCTGGGCAAAGGCGAGCCTTGCAGCCTCCGTCCCGCAGCGGGGCTCGGTGCGGTGAGGCCTCATGTTTACAAGTTCACGTAGGTTACACGCAGATGTACAGCATGAGTTTAAGACTTGTAGATCGTAGTTAACATCTAGTGCTAGCGCCTGCTGCAGCTTTACCTGTCCAGTGCTTAACCTTTGGCCGTGATTTCTCATCGGTAGCCAAAAATAGCTGCTACACTTGCGACACTAACGTGAAGAAGAGCCTTTGGGGATGGGATGGCGTCTGGCGCCCCTGCTCCTCAACGCTCCATTTCTCACAGAAAACAAGAAGGTGAATCAATTTATGATATTGTGAGTGGTTTAACTAGCTCGGTGAGGTTTGTTGGTTGGTTGGTTTGGTTTGTTTTTTCCCCCCCCCCCTCTCCCCGTAGGTGCTTGTAGGCAATAGGAAAGGTGTCAGTGTGTCCCTCATCTGTCCCCACTTCTCAGCGTGCTCACCCCTCTGTCTGCCCCTTCCCGACAGGCAACTGTTGCCTTACTGCTTGACGTCGTGTAGTGACCTTCAATAAAGCAAACGTGGCTCTCGGATTCTTTGCGCTGGTTCTTACGTTTGAAAATAATTAAAAAAAAAAAAAAAAAAAAAGGGGGGGGGGGAGGGGGGGCAAAGCACCCCACCTCCGTTTTCCCGATGGTCTCGCCCACATCCCCCCGCTCCCGGTGGTTTCGCCCGCCACCTGCAGCTGAGCTCTATGGTTCGCCGTGCCTAGAGCGCCCGCCGCGCCTCCGGGGCGGGTCGCTGGCGGAAGTGGCGTCACTGCCGGCTCCCGCCGCCTGCCGGGATCGTGGCGGAGCGGCGCGGGCCCTTCCGGCGGCTGAGGGGAGCGGGACGCCGGCCGCGCCGCCATGTCCACATCGCTGGGCTCCAACACCTACAACCGGCAGAACTGGGAGGACGCGGTGAGCGCGGGGCGGGCTTTGGCCCGTGAGGAGGAGGGGTGGGTGGTGGGGGGGAGCTGCGCCCCTCCAGCCTCCCCTGTCCGGGCAGGGGTTGCCGCCGTTCCCCCGGCCCTGCCTCTGGGCAGCGCTGACTGGGAAAGGGAGCGTCCCCCCCTCCAGCTCCCTGCCGGGGTTTGGGTTGTCTGGTAGCTGGAAGGGCTGAGCCGGGCCTCTCGTTTGCCTTCTGTGCAGCTGAGGCCTTTCCCAGGTGCGCCCGGTGCAAACAATAGAGGAGGGATAACGGGGGGTGCGGGGGGTGTTCTGTCATCTGCTGCAGTCGGGCCGCTGAAGAGTTAAGACCTCAAGAAAACGCTTTTTGTTTGTTTGTTCTGAGTGTGACTTCAAACCGGAACAACTAGTAGCTCGTGGTTCTTTCATAATACGGGCTTTGGGTCATGGCGTGCAGCTCTCCCAGTGACTCTTTCCGAATGAGCCTTTTTGCATCCTTCAGACAATCTGATTAGTTTAACTTCGTAGTGTTCATTCGGAATGTGATTTGAATGCTGTTCTGAGGATAGAGTTTGTTGCAAATTCCTGATTGTCTTTCTCCTTGCTCAATTTAGGACTTCCCTATTCTGTGCCAGACATGTCTTGGAGAAAACCCATATATTCGAATGGTATGTGCCTGCTTGACCGTGCGGTCCTTTCCTCTGTTTTGGCCCCGGAACTGTTGTGTTTAGGGGACTAAAATAAGCCTGGCTACAGGAGGAGGTGCTGAGGTGGATGTGCTCTCCTAATTAGTTGGTTCTGCACAGCAGGATTTGGTTCCAGCCATTGTTGGGCTGTGATATCATGGCATTAGCTATGTAATTTAACAATAAATCAATCAAAAAGGAGAGCAAGATATTATAGTTCAGTGCCTCGAGTGAAGGAAATACTAGCAAACAAAGCTTTGATACTGGCAAATCACATGACATGCAGAACAGTGAGCTGCTGAAATACTAAAATAACACAATTTCTAAAATGTGAAGAATATGCACCTGTAAAAATCAGTTAAAACTGTCTTATGAAGGCTGCCCAGTGGTAATTTAAATCCTTGTTTGTTCACCTTGGTTTTCTTCATCAGTCCATTTTATGTTGCTTTTCTCTGTGGCGTATGACCTACATTTACCTTATCTTTCATTCACATTTCCATTCCACCAAGTTTCCTGACAGAGATTATGATATTTTTGTGGAACATAACCCTACTGCCAGCATGGGTGATATTTCAAAACCTCCTTATTTTCATGGACTTATTTCTTGTAACATCAATTTGCTTAAAAATAGCTATTAATGTTCCATTTAATTCTCGCCTTTCATCAGTACATGAGGTGGGACTTAAAATACTGTGTTTTAATGAATGTTTCTAAACCAAAAATGAATCGAGAGTTTTTTAGGATTTTTTTTTTGTGTGTGTATGTGTGTGTCCTGTTGACCTGCCAAGGGGTGAGCCCAAAACTCAGGTGTGGGTGAGTCTAGGTGCAGCATAATTAGGAAAAAAACACTGTGCTGTAACGTCAATGACATGTTTAGTGTTTTGTGCTGAATTGATATTTTATATTTTCTCTTCTTTTTTTTAATTATATTTCAGACCAAAGAAAAATATGGAAAAGAATGCAAGGTATGTTTGTTGTCTTTTGAAGAAAGAATGTCTAAATTGGTGCACATCTAAGAATAATATATTTTAGTGTTAAAAAACACGTCAGCTTCAGGAAAGTGCTTGTCTGGGTTAACAGCTTAGAATGTTTATGTAACTACATACATTTTTAGGTCAGTCTATTGTGAGCTTTGTTAGACAAAGCCAGTTGGTCTTAAAATGGTAAAAATATTGAAGACTGTTCAGAGGTAGGATTTGCTAATGTTTATCAGAATTAGGTTTTGCAAATAATGCTGTGCTATATTTGAAGGTATTTCAGCATTTTAAATGATCTCATATTTTCTCTTGCAAGTTTGTTTTTACTTGTAAGTGGTGCATAAATAACGGAGTTCAGGTTTTGCTATGAAGAAGATTTTCATAGCTGTGTGGTGATTTGTGTTGGCTGTCTAAGAAATAAGCTACATTTATTTCTGAGAGAGCAAGAAATATTTAGTGTTGTCTTGACTGAGGGAAATTAAAGGAGTGTTTTGCTCCTTTTATGAATTGTCATCTGAGGTAGGGAGAAGGTAGGTGGTGAAATGTTGCTTCCCTTCCTCAGGCTGTACGTGCAGCAGAAGCAGATGCATCCTTCCACCAGATAAGACAGAGAGCAGTAGTCGTCTTCTGGACCACAAGTCTCATAACCTCTCACTGGGCTTGTTGGTGTGCTGGTGACTGATTTACGCATAATTGGTCATTTATCTCTAATAGCTCTATACTGACATCGCCTGGAATGAAGGAGAATTTCTTTTTCCTTTGAGTAGATCTGCTTTCAGCATTCAGGTTATTGTAATAAATTAAAAAAAAAAATCAAGAAAAAAAACACTCCTAGAACTTTTTTCTGTCAAAGTAAGGCACCAAATAGAAACAAGTATTTCTTGAGGTCTGAATCATAGCCCTAAGATGAAGAAATTGTATTAAGGTTTGAAGAGACTAGATGTGTTTGGACTTTAAGTTTCCGTGCAAGAACCAGAATGGTAACAATAGTAACTTCATTGCTGTATGACAGTGACACAAGTGTCGACTTTCTGACTTTCAGATTTGTGCCAGGCCTTTCACAGTATTCCGCTGGTGCCCTGGTGTTCGTATGCGTTTCAAGAAAACAGAAGTGTGCCAGACATGCAGCAAGCTGAAGAACGTCTGTCAAACCTGTCTGCTTGACCTGGAATATGGTGTGTACCAAAAAATGTAAACTAAGAGAAGCAGCTGGTCTGCTTAGCTCTGAAATGAAAGTTGGTGAAATGTCTTTAAGTGCATGCGTGTAATTGGCACGGTTGTCTCTGGATACTCTTGGAGAAGAACAAGTCTTGATGATCACATCTCTTCTGAGGTTCAGGGGAAGCATGGGATACCTGAGCAGTAGATGAGTTATCTCTGGCTAATGCCAGAGATATAGCAATAGCTATTCCTGCTCTTTCGGCTTGTGCTTAATATGGATTTGTTGGGGTTTTTTGTTTGTTTTATCCTAGGTTTGCCTATTCAAGTCCGGGATGCAGGACTCTCCCTTAAGGATGAAATGCCTAAGTCTGATGTCAATAAAGAGTACTACACCCAGAACATGGAACGAGAGGTAAGGCAGTGTAGTTATAATCATGCTCTCTGTGTGTGGATGTGTACAGGGCAGGAGAGGGGAAGAATGACCTAGCTTATCTTAAAATCATGTGCTTGCTCTCATTCTGTGCCTTAGTTCTCTATAGTGATATATACATAAATATTTGTGATTTAACTGCTGTTTAGATATCCAATTCTGATGGCACTAGACCAGTTGGTGCACTAGGAAAAGCTACTTCTACCAGTGACATGCTGCTGAAGCTGGCTCGGACCACTCCTTACTATAAGCGTAACCGTCCTCACATCTGTTCCTTCTGGGTTAAAGGAGAATGCAAGAGAGGAGAAGAGTGTCCTTACAGGTACAGATAAAACTTAACCAGTTAATCTGTTCATCGTGGTCAGATGCAGCTGCCCTGGGGTTCGAAGAACAGGAAATGCTGCAGTGGACAGGAGATGTAACACTGATTGGGGTCAGTGTGAAACTTGTGTTCAGCTGGCACGCAGTGCTGGTGAACGAGTCTTTGTTGTGGCAAGTTTGTTTATGAGGAATTAGCTGCGTGGTCTTGTAGTGTTTTACCGAAGCAGTGGCTGCAGCTCTTCTCTCGCGTAGTTAATTTTTTCCCTTCGTGGCGTCAGTCCCCTCAACCAGAGATCTTTGTGTTTGAACAAGAGGCCATTTGAAATCCAGCTCTTGTGTTTTGTGGTGTTGAACGCTGAGCTGTCAGAAGTGCTATTCATTCAGAACTTGAGGCAGTCCCGGCTGAAGTTTAAGTTCTCGGGGCTTTTTGTTCCGTTTTGGCATGTTTATGGGAAGCAGATAAGTGACCAGAGGCCTTTAGAAGGGAAGGTAGCAGTTATTTTAATCTGATGCAGCTGTGACTGGTGTTATGAAATGCTTTGTTTGCTGAACCTTAGACATGAGAAACCTACAGATCCAGACGATCCTCTGGCTGATCAGAACATCAAGGATCGTTACTATGGAATTAATGATCCTGTGGCTGATAAACTTCTGAAACGAGCATCAACCATGCCTCGTCTAGACCCTCCTGATGACAAGACTATTACTACACTGTATGTTGGAGGGCTTGGAGATACTATCACTGAATCAGACCTCAGGTGTGTTGGTGAATTTGTATTGCCCTTGCCTTTTTATTTGACGCTTTGATTACTGCTCATCTTCAAGTGACGAAATCTCTCTCGCAAGTTAAAAAAAAAAAATCTGGTTTTCAGTTTTCTTTAATGGGGAACTGGTTGGTGGGCAAGTGCAGAGGAGTGCCAGCTTGTTGGAGAACAGATAAACAGGCACATCTCAAATGCTTTGATTAAAATGTCTCTCTTTAAAGATGAATCATCCTTCTGAGCTGTTGGGGATGCTGTGTTACACTTTTTACGAGAAAGTCTCATAGCCCCTCTCTAGCTAGCTGCTGCTGAAAGCTGCTGCAGAGTTTTTATTGCTCTATAATTGCACAGGAGGGCAAGAGACGTGATTTCTCATGATTACTCTGAACTGATGATGGAGAAGAGAAAGGATCTGAGCGTATCTATTTCAGCATGTGATGAGATCCTACTCTATGTACCTTGCACCTAGGAGGAGTGGGGTTTCATAATCATATTTTTCCCCACACAGAAATCACTTCTACCAGTTTGGGGAGATTCGGACAATAACTGTAGTACAGAGGCAACAGTGTGCTTTCATCCAGTTTGCTACCCGGCAAGCTGCAGAAGTGGCAGCTGAGAAATCCTTCAACAAACTCATTGTCAACGGTCGCAGGCTCAATGTCAAATGGGGAAGGTGAGTGTGGGGGGAGGAAGGAAGCCATGAGGATACTGCCACAAGGTTCTTCACTCAGTTTATGCAATCTTGATGAGCAGGATTGGGTATTACGCTGGAGTAAATACTGATTTAGTAAATAGTTGGGGTCTTCTTACAGTTTGGTTTTCTTTCAGCAGTGGGATCTGGGTTGGAGGTAACACAAATTGCACAAATTGTGTGAGGGATTTCCTGGTTGAGGGTTATGGATGAGTTTCTGTAGTTTTGCTTCTAATCCATCTCCCGTAAGCACTGTTTGCACACCTTGTACCAGCTGTCTCTGCTCTGTGAATTTTTCATCTTTGGCTTGAAGCAACAGGTCTGGACTAGGTAATGTGAAACTACCGTGGTGTGAGTATCTGCTTATCCTGCTTTTTCTCATCCTTGTTCTCAAACTTTTGTCTGTTTTTTAGGTCCCAGGCAGCAAGAGGAAAAGAAAAGGACAAGGAAGGTACTACAGAATCCGGGATAAAGTTGGAGCCAGTTCCAGGACTTCCTGGAGGTAAGGGAATTGTTTTCTTGTCTGAAACACCTAATGCTGAGCTGCTTCCATGAGAGAGACTGGTGTTAAACCTCTGAGAGGAGTAACAGAGTTCAGGATGGTAGAGGCACTGGTGAACTCAGAACAGCTACTTACAGTCGTTTTGCAGCAGACCCAGCTGAGATGGGAGGTGAGCTTTGTCTAGAAGCAAATTCATGGTGAAAAGATTTTTTTATTTCTTTTTTTTTTTTTTTTTTTTTTTCCCGTGGTGAGTGAAAAGTTAAACCTGAAATAAAGTTACTTAGGTCTGAGATACTGGCAACCCATGCATTTCAAGGCTTGGGTAATGTTTTCCCAATCCACTGAGCATTGTATGATGGAAAAAGCAAAGCTGGTTTCGGGACAAGAAATATGGTGACTGTTCTAGAGTTTCAGTGTGGTTCTGCTTCTTGCTCCGGCTCATACGTGCAACAGTAGCAGCACTTTGCCCTTGTGGAAGAACCGATTGTGCCTCCTTTCTGAAAGCAAATACCTCTGTGTATCTTGACTGAGAGATTTTCCATAACTACCGTGTACTTTTTCTGCAGCTCTCCCCCCTCCTCCAGCTGCAGAAGAGGAGGCTTCTGCAAATTACTTCAACCTACCTCCAAGTGGCCCTCCCGCCGTGGTTAACATTGCCTTGCCACCTCCTCCTGGCATTGCTCCGCCACCACCTCCAGGTACTTGTGTTTCCCCTTCAAGTGGGGGTGTCTAACTTGGTGTTAGACTATCTAGTCTTCCTTGCTCAGCTGTGCTGTAGCACTGATGCGTGCCCTGAGTTGATTTTCCTCATCCCTGATCATACAGTGTAAACTGATGATCTAAAATGAGCTGTCAGCACAGTTTAATTACACTGAGCTGCCTGTTATGGTATGTATTCACTTGCAAATTCTCAGGCATGTCGGAGATCCCTGTTACTGGTACTGAGACCTACTCAGTGCTTTTGCTGGCTGTGTGAATGCCACATGAACCTGAACTTCAAAGGGTAATTCTGCAGCTGGTTGAATACCATCCTGTGTTTGGCTGTGTGTGTATCTATCCGGAGACCCTTTATTTTTATGGGATGTCAGATTCTTGTGAACGTATTTGCTTTGCTCCATGGTTGAGTAGAAAGCATTCAGATTGCCATTAGAAACACCTGTCCAGTCCCCCCACCTGCTTTTATCTGTGCATAAGGATGTATTTTGGGTAAGGATTGCCCTCAGTTGTAGTGGAAAGAGGGGAGGGAGTTTGGGGATTTGAAGAACCATGAGAGATGTGCACCTTTCTAAGGCACAGCTGTAAGCCAGCTGTTTTCTGTCGGTAGTTGCAAGCAGTAGTACATCTGCACTGGTGGTTCTGTTGCTTTGTCTGAAGCTGCCAACTTTGTTTCTGCAGGTTTTGGCCCACACATGTTCCATGCCATGGGGCCCCCGCCTCCCTTCATGAGAGCCCCAGGCCCCATTCACTACCCGTCTCAAGATCCCCAGAGGATGGGCGCCCACGCGGGAAAGCACAGCAGCCCCTAGCACGTCGTGCCACCCTCATCATTTAAGTAAATGTTATTTTCTAGTTACCATGGTAGCACCATATGTTGAGCTGTGGGTGAGCTAGAGAAGCCTTATTTCCCTGCTTGCAGACACTGGGCAAGCTGAGCTCCGTGTCTCCGCTAGCTGATCGGATTGTTGATACATCCCAGGTCTTTCATTTAGTGTTGGGGAGTGGGGGGGTGGGGGGCAGACAGAAGGGCTGTCGGGGGTCTGTGGATCAGGTATACCAGAATTAGTGCTATCCATGTATCCCGTTGGCACACTTTTGAAATAAACGTCTGGAAAAACAAAACCAAACCCTTTTCAAGCCCCTTTGATATCCTTAGTCTGAGCACTACAGGTTGTTTAAATGTAACCGGAGACTCGTCTCTGTCAGGTAACTAATGACTTATCATTCTAATGAAGTATCAAACCAGGACTGAATAAGAGCTGAAAAACAAGCTTATCAGAAGTGCCAAATCCATGGCTTTGCCTTACCATTGCCACAGAATTTTCTTCCCTCCTTTTTCCTGACTTCTTGCTAAAAAAAAAAAAAAAAAAAAAAAAAACAAAACAAAAAGCAAACCTTTTTTGATGCTGCACTTCTAATCCTGCACGTCCCAAGCAAGATAAGTGTTAGGTCACACAAGCAGGCGTGAGCTGGAGTGACAGGTTAGCAGTTGCCTGGTTTTGCATAGAGAAGCCCCTCGGCCGCCTCCAGAGGCCGGGCTGCTGTTGCTGGCAGCCGCGGGGAGAGGACACGGTGCAGCTGGAAGCTGCTCAGGGGTGTGTTTGGAGCACGGCTGGGGCTTTCGAGGCCTGTGGATACAGTCTCCTCTTAAACTGTAAACTGTTTCAATAAGACATGAAACTTCTCTTTCTGTGCTCCAACTGTAGTGTTTGCCCAGGAGCAACTGTGTCCTGCATGGAGCCTGCCATTGAGTAAGATGTATGTACACGTGTCTGGAGGATTTTAAGTTATCTGTATGTCAGCTGCTTTCATGCAATGGATCTGTGGATATATTTCTGTAAAGCAAAACATGATGGGACCTGTTCTGGAGCTTTATTTGCTTGTTTAAAAAAAAACCAAACAAACCCAAACATTAAAATATTTGAATTTTTCAACACTTTGCTTAGACCCTGCTTCCTGGAGCACAGTGTCTGAGGACTTTGATTTTTATTTGGCTGCTGTTAAAGTCAAGATGCAGAGTGGGCAATGACAGGAGGTCCACTTTTAGTTTTATATGCGATGCCACTGGGTTGCAGTGATGCTGCCAGCCCTGCCAGGCTGCTGGAGGTGGGATAGCACTCCCGGCACCAGGGGTGCCTTTCTCTGGAGAAGGAGCTGGGCACAGGGATTTAGTTTAGCTTTTGTGAGGTAAGAGCTGTCCCAGGGCAGTGTTGGAGGGGCAGAGGGCTGCTGGTGGATGGGGGAGGGCTGCAGCCTTTGCTGCTGCTCTGGCCCTGAGTCTCTGCCCTCCGGGCCTGTGAGTGCTGTGCAGACTGATCTCAAAGGCAGACAGGCTTTACGTTATTGCAGTTTATTTACTATTTCCCGCCAGGTCCCCAGGAGTACATGGGTTCTTCAGCTGATGGACAAAGAGGGGAGAGGTGGGTTTGGAACAGGACAGCAGTTGAGCATCATAAATTCTTAATGTTTAAGGAACGGACCTTTTTTCTTTCTATTTACTTGACCCCTTCTGCTTCTGGGGGAACAACAGAGCAACAGAAGTTTGCCTGAATGGTGTGTTGGGGCAGCAGAATCCCTCTGTGGAATTTGTTCTGCACAGCATTAAAAAGACACTTCACAAGTGAGGCAACTGTTAACTATTTTTACCACAAAATTTACCTGCCTGGTTTAAACACAGTGGTGTAAAAGAAACTTTTATCCTGATGCTCCTGCTTTTGCAAGATAAAATAAAGGTGATACTGAGAACCTGACAAAAGCAATTGTGGAAAGCCTGTATTAAGTCAGAGACTTTTGTTAGCCGTCAGCAAGGTTCTCCAGATGTCCTGATGACTGTCCTATAGACCGGTGTTAGCTGCGTGTGTCCCTGCTGAAAACGTCTGTGTTAGTTGAACCCTCACTGCTGATTTCTGCATTCCTGGAGGAGGCAGTGCTTGCTCTGCAGTCGGGGCTGCGCTGCGCTTCCTCCCCGCTGGTGCTGAAGCTGCCGGAACAGCCCGGCAGTAGCTCCAGACTGGTGCCATTCCGCTGTGCGTCAGGTCCAGCCAGGGCCTGATCCTCATCGACCCGCTGTATGACACAAATCTGGCGTGAATCAGTCAAAGGGCTTAAATGTTTAAGCAAGGCATGCAAATAGCAGTAGGAAGGGGAAAATACCAGCTGCCAAGTGCCAGTCAGTAGCTTGTGGCAAATGGGGCACAAGTTTCCAACTCCCAACGTTCTTCTCCCATATATCCTGGTTGTGCTGTGTTGGTAAACGGGCAGATCCCAGTTCCTCACTTGTTTTTGTTGTCCAGCCAAGCCCAAGGTAAGTGCTTTCAACATGCCAATGCCTCCAGTAACGTGTTTTGCTGCCACTCTTCAATTATCACATCCTCTTGCCATCCCGACCGGAATGACACATGTAGAGTTGTCTTGAAGGCGGAATTTCTCCGCGAAGGCACCAGCTGTTAGAGCAGGTCTTGTGTGTCAGGGGAAAAAGCAGCGAGAGCGCCTGGTGCGTTGCAGCGGGCGGTCCTGCCGTTCTCCACGAGGCCGGGCCGTGCGGGAGCTTACGGGGATCTGCTGGCATTAACAACGAGAACTTGGCAGGTTAGCTTAGCACTAAACGCCCTTGTGACACTGGCTGGCACGAGGGGAATTCAAAATGGTCCCAGACTGGAGCACGTTCAAATCCCCACGAAGAGGAGGATGACCCGAGACCACTGGCTTAGCTTTCACGAAGAATACTCACTCCCCTCTTCCCTACCGTGCAAAGTAAGTTTGAGTCTAGCGAGAAAAGCATCGGTGGCGATGGCGAAGGGAGCGGGCGTGCTACAGCTCCTCGCTCTCAGGTAGAATCCTCACCCACCCTTGCGGCACTCGGTTGAAGTTGGGCCTGTGGGCGATCACCTCCAGAACGCTCAGGTTGTCCAGCTCCACGGCAGGCACAGGGAACAGCTCGCTGACCAGGGCTCTGTCGAAGGGGGTGGGAGTCCTGCGGCACGGCAAGGAACAGACTTAGCACGTCACGAGGAGAGCTGGCGCGTGTTGTAAAAGCAATAGAAAACACAAGTCGGGGTTTGCTAACAGCCCAGCAGCAGCCTCGCGATGCCTCCAGCAAATGACAACCCTCCTCTTCCTCCCCAGGATGCCGTTAGAGCTTCTGCTAGCCCAGTGAGGCGTTTCTGTTGCACAGAGCCAAGCTCAAGTCGAGCTTTGGCAGGCCTGGGGAGTGGGGCTGGGTGCCTGGGCTTCCGTGGCTGTGCAGGGGAGGGAGGCAGGGAGCACCTTGTTATCCTTACCGTAGTCTCTTGCTGGGCTCCGCCAACAGCGGTAGGGATGTGCTGCGTGCGAAAGGGGTTAGATTAAGAGAGCAGGGGATGGTGACAAACCCCCATGTCTTTAGAAAGTGTCTGGTCCGCAGCTAATGTGTTCTGCAGAGGGCTGAGGCTGATAGTGCTGCCTCCTGATTGCTCCAGCACATGTGCAGGCAAATGTCTTTCCCTTGGCCCTGGCTCCAGCCTGCCTTTTGGGACAGCTTCTCTTGAACTATGACTAAGAGAAGGAGCAGTGCGGGGGCAAGAGCTGTCATCCCTTTCTGGAGAAATGTGGAAAGGGACTGAGGAAGAGAGTGCCAGCCCCCAAAAAAGCCAAGAATGTTGGTTTTGGAGCAGCACATGGAGGCTGAGCTATCAACGAGGCATAGCTGGGAATGTTTGCTTTGGGAAGTGCTGCTCGAACATGAGTAACGTGGCACTGTTTTGCAACAGAGGAGAAAGAAGAGAGGGAAAGGTAAATGAGAGAAGTTTGTTCTAGAAACTTTCTCCCTTCTGGGAAAAGACAGTCCTTTCCCAAGCTTGGTTTTCACTCTCTCATAAGGCAGCACAGCTTAGCAAGGTGGCTGAAGGTCTCTGCATCACAGCCTGGACGTTTAAACTTGGGAATAAATCAGTCTGCTTTAACACAGTTGCCTTGGGATGGTGAACTTGCCCTTGCCCTGTGGCCCATGTGAGCTGTGCTGGGATTCACCTAGCTTCAGGCAAGACTGTTGGCTTTTCGCTAGCCAATTTGTTCCAAAAATCTTGTTTTTCTGCAGTTTGGTATTTGATGAACTGAGAAGTGATTTAAAAGCCAACAGCTTGGAAGATCATGAAAAGCCCAGTTAAAAGCAGATTGGCTCTCTGAATCTTCATGCCTCAGTAAAGAATTAGAGGAGGTGGCAAGAGGCTTGGTGTTAAATTAGCATCCATCTGTATTAAATAACAGTTCAAGACTTTAAATAGAAAGGCAGCATGTGAGAGGGGAGAAATGGTACGGGGTAAAGCATTATTCAGAAACATGCCCTTGCTTCAGTCCCTGTCCATAAATAAATACTGAGGCAGGAACATGGCTAAATGTTGAAAGAAAAGAGCCAAGTGTCTGCCATAGCTCCTTGTTCTCCTCCCACGGCACCTCCTGGGATGTTACTGCTCCAGGAAAGCTCACGATGACTGAGTAACTGGGAAGGAGACCCCAAGGGAAGAGCTAATGCAGCCCCTTTGCTTCCCCACGCTTGTCCATGGCTGCCCGCGGGTTCTTGTCCCTTCTGTTAACCCCCCCACCTCCTCCCTCTTTGCCTCAGCCCCACTCCAGTGCAAACCAGTGCACTTTCACTGGTGCAGGAGGGGAAACACGGCGGAGCTGGGTGTGCAGCAGCCCTGTGCTGTGCCCCTCGCCCAGCCAAGCCCCCGGGCTGAGGGAGAGGAGAGCAGCAGCATCCCCGCTCCGCCGGCGGTCGGGCTGATCCCTGCCCTGTGGGACGCCGTTCCCACGCGGAGGGGTTCTGCTCCCCCATGGCCCCTTCTCCAAGCGCTCAAAGCGCAGCATTCCTGTCCCCCCCCCGTGACTCCAATCCAAGCCCGGTGCGGGCTCAGGAAAGCTGCTGTCTGCAGAGGCCCAGCGCAGCAGCAGATGGTCTGATGGGGAGCAGTGCTGTGTCACAGCAAGGAGCTCCAGTGGGACCTTGCCTACTGGAAGGTGACTTTGGCCAGGCCACCAAGGCAAATGTACTTTTATCCTCATGAAAGAGGCTTTCAGTGGGGAGGAGAGCCAGGACCTCAGTTTGCAGATTCCCTGAGGTGATGTTCAGCTTAAAAGTTCAGTTCTAATTATTCTACCTTGGGCTGCTGGTGCTTTGCTATCACCAGATCTCCATCCCCTGCATTCCTTTCCAGAAAGGAGATTTTTATTGTCAGTCTGCTCCAGGGTCCCAACCTTGACCCCAGTGTAATTTGGAGGTGCAGTAGCCATGCTCCACTGGAAGCAGCCACAAGGCATGGAGCTTGTCAGACTGAGCGACCAGCAACTCCTTGGCCTGGAGACTTCAATCTCAAGCAGGTGTTTGGAAGGAATCTGGTGACCTCTTAGCACCTTGTGGGAAGATTAACCTTATACCCCCACCACTTCCAGCAGCTGCTTGGATACCTTAAGGAAATTAGGAGAGACACTTGGCAGTGTGTGTGCCGTTCCTCTACCCAGCCCAAAGCCGAGCCTGGCTGGGAACAGCAGCCATTCCTTCTCCAGGACCATATGCATGAGAATTAGCCCTCCCAGATCTCATCCCTGAGGCTACCCACAATGAGATCAAGCTGCTTGAGGCTGCACAAACCCAGTGGTGGAGCAGTGAGGAGATCTGGGGAACTGCTGGAGGCAGGGACCTTTGCAGAGGAGCCGTGGAGGAGCTCCTGAGCAGGAAAAGAGCAACCTTTGCCCTTGCTGCTCCTCTGTGGTATATAAAGAGGGCATGGACTCTTGTGTTTCCCTGGCAGGATGGTAGGTGCTTCTTGAGGCTGAAGGGCTGGCCAAGAGATGGACAGGCTGGCGGTGCCTGCTCCTCAGCCGGTGTTACCTGTTGAAGCTCCTGAAGTCCCATGGAGAGGGTCTCATGGGTGGCTGGTTCTCCCCATGCACAGCATTGTCCTTGTCCCCAAGGAGATCCTGCCACGGGGATCGGTAGCCCTTAGGGATGGCGGTGACGTTGAACTTCTCCGGGGGGACTTCTTTGAGGGGGCCTGAGTACCCTGCGTGGTGGGAGAGACGGTGTGGGCTGCTGTGGCCACAGCCAGACCGGGGCAATGTGCTGAGCAAGGGAGGGGCTGGGAGCAGCCCTGCCTTTGCATGGCCATGGAGGGCCCGCTGCTGGGGGCAGGATTACATATATATAACATAAACATATGGTTTAGGTTTATATTTATATATATATATTAAAACTCTGAAGGAGGGTTTTGGGGAGCACCCCTCAGCAGGCAGCAGCTCGCTGCCTCCCACCTCGCATTAACTGAGGTTACAACCGTGTTGGCTTTGGGGTGCAGGTGGCACTTACCCGGGGCCAGAGCGTCGGGGTTGAGGACTTTGCTCATCTGCAAGACTTTCTCTGTCTTCTTGGGCACTTCAGGGGGGCCACCCTGGGGCGATGCTGCCACGTGGAGCTCGGAGTGATAACTCTGCTGGCCCTCGGCATCCTCCCCTGCCTGCAGAGGGGAGAGTCAGCAGGCACAGGGAGCTGCCCCTTACCCAGCTGGGACTCAGGAGGCTGTTGAAAGCACCTTGGAGCTACTCACCATCCACTCATTTGCTGTTCCCTCCAGGTGACTTTTCTCAGTGTGGTGTGAGCCACCCACCCCCCGCACTGGGATCTGCAGGAGGAGAGGAGGGGGGTTAGTGGGTGCACCATTCCCTTAAGTGGATGCCGAACATGAAGCTTGCCCATCTCCTTGCCCAGCCCACCGAGGCATCTCTCCTCTCCCTTCACCTCAGCGTAGCAGGAGCACAGCTGCCCTGCAGAGAGCCCCCCCCAACCCCACCGGGAATCACTTCCCTGCAAAGGCTGAGAGAGCCAGGAAGGGCTGTCCCGCTTGGAGCCAGGGGATGAGCCACAGCCGCACCTTCTTGTCGCTGCTGGGATGCTCAAAGACGAAGCGCTGCATCCGCTTCTGGCGCTGCTGGAAGAGCTGGGAGCCGCGGTTGTTCCGCAGGGAGAGCTCCTCGATCATCAGGTCCTGTGGCGTGCTCATCTTCTTGCCCAGGTCCAGCCGGGGCGCTGGGGAGGCTGGGGGAGAGCACAGCCACAGCTGAGGCTGCTGCAGTGCTGGGGACCCCCCCGTGCCCAGAGCAAGGACAGCGTGTCCCCTCGCCGGGGTCCCTGTTGCACGGCTCGGCTGTGAGCCCGTGCCAGGAGCTTTTTCCTCGGTGTGGGGAATTGCCAGGGAGTTATCTCAGCTCCAGAGGCTCAAACAGCCTCTCCTGCCCTGTGCATGGACCCCTCCAGCCTGTGACATGTAATTGCTGTCCCTTGGGACTGTAGTGCAAGAGGGTCCAAGAAAGCAGGTGCAGAAGCCCTGGGGAGTGGGGCCAGTGGCCTCAGCCAGAGCTGGAGCTAGGACACCCACTGCTCTCCCCTAGGCAGCGGGGCTGCACTGCCCTGGGACCGGCGGCACCCCCAGCCCCTCTTACCGTCTTCAGGGCCCGATCTCATGATGGTCATCACTTGCTGCCACGCTCCTGGGGCAGTTCTGTGGGAGGGGGATGGATCTTGCCTGGCTGGAAGAGAGAGGCAGCCCCAGAGTGACACCGGGCATGGGGACGCGTCAGCCCCAGGCGTGCCATGGGGAGAGGCCAGGCTTTGGCTGAGCTTCTCCCCCAGACAGCATTATCCTTGAGCACCTCTTCTGACCAGCATCATCCCTGAACGCCTCCCCTGGCCAGCATCATCCCCACGCTACTCTCCATTCTCTTCAATAGATGTAGGGAAATGTCCAAAGTATGCCACCCCTCAGCCCCTGCTTGCCATCTTTCCTCTCTGCCTTTCTTTAGGGCAGAAAATGTCCCTAGTTCTGTCCTTGCATGCAGCGAGCCAATGTCCTCACGTCCTGAGCCCCCTTGGAGCAGCACCCTGGCTGCGCCCCCCCCCCCCCCTCCACAGCACCTCCGCCTCAGCAGAGCTATTTTCAGCCTCTGGCCCCAAGGGTGCAGGGGCTGCAACCCTGACCCTGCCGGGGAGCTGGCGAGCCCAGCCAGCAGCGAGACGGGGTGCGGGGTCACTGGCCCCGCTTCCAGGATTGGGTTGCTCCTTAACTTCCAGCTTCATCGCGGCGAGGCAACTGGAGGCCAGCCCTGGGCTGAGCCCTCTGGGCTGCCCACCCCCAGCAGCAGTGTCCCATGCAGCCGGGGCATTAGGCTCAGTAAGTGCAAGGCTTGGCCCCCCCTTTGGTGCCTCTCACATCCCTTGGCTCAGGCTGAGCCTGTGCCCCTTCCTCTAAGAACCCTGGAGGGCAGGGAGTGCCTGCGGGTGCCTGGCACGCAGCTCCCTGCCAGCTGAGTTCCACATTAACCTTCCGCACGGCGAACTTGTGCCCTGTCCTTCCCTGGATCCCCGCTCTCTCTCCAGGGTGACCATACCCTGACCCCCCCATGGTGGCCATGGCCCTACTGCTGAGTCTGGGACATTCCCAAGCCCCGTGCACCCACCCATTTGCTGACCCCAGAGTGGGACCTCACCTTCCCTACCTGGCCAGGGGACGCCCCGGATGCTGGGGACCGAAGATGCTCTCCTGCTGCACTGGGGATGAGGCTGAAGGCAAGCTTCAGCCACCAGCACTCGGTGGCTCTGGCTGGCCCCCTGTGGCACCCCCAGGCTCCCTGCCGCTCGCCCCGACCCGTGCTGGGCTCCAGCCCAGATGCCAAAGTCCGGCTGTGGGACAGCAGTTATTTCTGGCTGAGAAAGGGGGCGGAGCAGGGCTGACCCTTGGGGACCGGTATGGTGGCTGTACAGCAGCAGCAGGAGGTGGCCACGCGTGCCCAGGCCACCCCGGGGACGGATTGGAGGCAGGCAGGCCAGGCCAGGTGGGATAACGGCAGTTTATTTCGGAGTTGGGTATACAGCTGTGTGGCAGAGGCGGGTTGTGGTGGCTGGTGCAGCAAGGCGGGGTGGACTGTGTCCTGGGAAGGGGAGGCTGCAGGGCAGGGGGACCCCAGGGAACAGGGATGGGCTGGCTCTGACAGCATGTCCCAGGGAAGGAGTGACAGGGGCTCCCTGAACAGGGGTCATGCTGGAGCACCAGCATCCTCCTTTCTCCATACTGGTCTTACCAGCACCAAGGCTGTGCCCTCGGGGGGGGGGGGGCGGGGGGGGGGGGCTGCGGTCACTGCCGTAGCACCTCCTGGCACCCCAACTGGCTCCTGCTCACCCCTGGGTGAGGACAAGTGCTTTGGGGACCCACCGCTCTCCTGGACACCCACTGCTCTCCCCAGGCTCTGCAACATAGCTCTGTCCACCCTATCGCCCTCCTTTCCCCATCACCCCAAACCTCCCCCTGACACTGCTGTCCCTGGGCACCCCCCAACCCCTCGTAGGGCTCCCTGTGGGGACATCGGCTCGTCCCCAAAATGCTCTCAGCATCGCCTCCTGCACTGACACCTCCTTCAAACCCTCTGCAACCTGTATCACTTCCTTCACACCTCCCCCCACCACCTCCCTGCACCCCCAGCCCCGACCCCGGCTGCCACAGCACCCGCTGGTCCCTGTGTGTCCCTCCATCCCGCAGGGGTGGGGACAGGGAGGGGGTGAGCCTGGGGATGGGGACAGCAACAGGGTATGGGATGGGGCTGTCCCTCTTTGCCTGGGCAGGGTGGGAGGGCACCTGTAAACGGCCCCCTTGACATGGCAATAAATAACTTTGGCTCTGTTTTTGGTCACCAGGGAAAGATCTGGGGGAATTCCTTTGAGAAGGGGGTCAAAAATAAAAAACAAACAAAAAAAAACCCAAACAAACAAACAAAAAAAAACCTCCAACAAAACAGGGCAGGGTGCTGGAATAAAAAAATGAACTTTTCCTCCCCAAAATCTGGTTTCAACTGAAACTAGACAGATCTGGAGGCTGGGAGAGTGTGCCTGACCACAGCACCCGCTCGGTGCTGCCCACCCCTGCCCGGTGTGCTGTGACCCTGTGGGCAGTGGCACCGGCTGTGCCACCCCAGGAAAGCAGAGCTGTGGTGACACCCTGGGTGACACCTCTGCGCTGGGGACGGGGGAGCTTGCAGGGGACCACCGAGCTCGTCCCCAGCCTGGCTACATGGCATAGGGCGGACTGGTGGGCAGGGGCTGCAGAGGAAGGGAGGGGGGCTGGCTGCCCCCCCGCTGCCTGCTGACCACGCAGTCCTGCCCTGAAAGGTTAGGGTGGTAAAAATAGAGTGGGGCCATGGGGTGGCAGGCAGGCGGGAGGCACCTGACCCCGCTGGCACGCCGAGGGGCTGTGGTAGCTCCACCGGGGAGTGGGGACACTGTTTTTTGGGGACCTCAGCCCCGAGGGTTAAGGTGTTCCTGGTGGGGGGGGGGCTCAGCGGGTGGCATCGCCCCAGGCGGCGGGGCTGGGGAGAGGGTGACCTGGCCAGGGCTGGCTCATCTAGGAGGTGCAGGGGGCTCCCGAGGGCAACCCCCCCGGCTTCAGCCGCAGGCTGCCGGTCCAGCCCCGGGGACAGAGGTTGAAGCTGTGGATGCCCGGGCTCTTGGTCCCCGAGTCTTCGGAGTCAAGGGAGACGTCCGAGTCCGTCGGGGACCGGGAGGTGCAGCGCTTGGCCGGCGATCGCCCGCCCACCACAGGGGATGGCAGGGGGCTCTTGGGGCTGGGGGACAGCCTGGGGACAGGGCAGGACACGCTGGGTGGCAGCAGGAGCTGGCGACCTTCTGCCCAGGCGGCTCGGGGTATCCCAGGGGAGGCACAAAACTGGGGGCCATCCGCCCGGGGTGATCTCAGGGGGCTTTTGTGGGTGGGCAAGGGGCTGCCCAGGCTCCCCGGCATGCTGCTGGCAGCCTGCAGCGCTGGGGCTCTGGAGGCCTCTGGCCGCGCCAGCGTGGGGGACTGGGGCAAGCTGGGGGGTCCGGCGGGGATGGGGGTGAAGGGCCGGGAGCCCTCCAGCCCCACAGCTTTGGGAGAGGAGCTCTTCCTTCGGGCAGCGTTGATGATGTTCCTGGCGAGCCGCGCTTGCATCTGCCGGCTGGCCCGGGGGTCGGCGTCCTGCCGCAGCGGGGACAGGGACCTCTCGCTCCATGGAGGGGACATGGGGGGTCCCTCGTCCAGCTCGAGCACCGAGGCCGGGCTGGCCCAGCCGTCCAGGCTGCCCGGGTGCCGCGCCAGCCGGGGTGTCCAGGTGGGTGAGGCGGGGAGGGACGACCGCCTTTCCTGGAGGGGGACAGAGAGCGGGTTAGTGCCGGCACCGCTTGGAAGGATGAAGGGGACAAAGCAGAGGGACAGGGGCAGGATTGGTGCTTTGTGCTGGATCAGCCCCGCAGGAACTGGGGATGCCTCCTCGTGCATTGCACCCCCTGCAAGGGTCCCCCCAAAATGCATTTGCCTCTGCACCCACTCATCAGCCAAGCAGGTCAGGGCAGGTTGAGCCTGCAATGAATCATCCTTGCCCAAAATATGACCCAAGACCTCTCACTACCTGCAGCTTCCTAAAGCCTCCTTCCAGGTGATGCACAGAGACCCCCTCCTCTGCACCCCCTTCCCCCGGGGGTCCGTCACCCAGCAGCTGCTCCCCAGTCATCAGCAAAGAGAAGAGCCAGGTCTGACAGCGCAGAGAGTGTATTCAGAAAGGGAGGGGGGATGGGGAAAGAAAAACGCAGAAGAAATAAAAGCACAGTCAAAAGGCAACTTGTTACAGTGGGGGGAGCAAGGGATGGGCAGACGCGGCTGGACCACGAGCTGAGCATCACCCAGCAGCTCTGCCCTCCCCTGCCCGGCACATCGCTCGCTCTTGGCCGTGCCAAGCAGCGCTGCCCACCCCCAGCTCCTGCACCAAACGCGGAGACGGACAGGGAGCCCGTGGTGTCCCCCGGTCCCCGGCACCGTGGGGCTCTGCTGTTCCCGCAGGGATGTGGCTCTTCCACTGCAGCATGGAAGCAAACGAGGACAGATCCCAAAGGAGCATCAGAAGAGAGAGGAGCAGGCACAGTGAGGTGGAAAGGCGGTGTGTCCCCTCCGGGTTTGCTTTGGTAGGAGGCAGATAGGAGCCAGCAGGACAGAGGGGCTGTGGGTGAGTGGGCAGAGCCGGCAGCTGCCGGCTACGAGAGCTGGAAAGGCAGGAGGCGAGGAAAGGACAGAGCCAGAGGTGCGATGCTCCAAAGTTTCCAGGTGAGAGAAGAGAGAAAGCACCGGCAGCCACGCGGGATGGGCAGGCTCCTGATGGCTCTTTGGATCCCACAGGCTCTACGCCCCGATTCCTGCCTCCCTTCCAGGACCCCTTGGCTCCCATTACTCCAGGGTCTCAGCAGCACCTGTCTCACCCACCGTCCTGGCACTGTAGCCTCCCAGCTACTTCTTTTTTCTATATTTCATTTTCTTTTTTCCCCCTTTTTCGTCGTTGGCTCAGCTTTTGGCACACCCATGAGCAGTTAGGGAGGACTCAGCCAGTGGAGGGAAGCCTAAAACCCCTGTGTTTTTCTCTCCGCCACCGCTACTTGTAGTAAAAAGAAGGTTTCCACACCTGCGGCTCGATGCCGGCATTCCTGGTGGAGTAGGAGGGCCGGGGTGCCTGGAAGCCTCCCTTCGCTCGGGGTGGCAGCAGGCGGCATGGGGAGGCCAGCAGCACCTCGGTCGGGGCTCCGGGACCGGCACGGCTGCCGTGAGTCAGGGACAGAGCCCCAGCGGCACTGGGGAAGGGGCTGGAGGTGGTCTGGGCAGAGCTGGGCACAGTGGGGGGATGCCAAACGGGGGAAGGAGGCAACGGAGAGGTTGGGCAGGAGGTTTGCTGGGGAGGGCGATAGGCATCGGGAAGAGAGGGTCTGGGTGGAGGCGTCTCCTGGGGTATCGACCTCGCCGGCCCCTTGGATGGGGAGAGGATGAAGAGCGAAGACTGGAGCTGGTAGGGCTGGTGCTTGGAGATCTCCAGCTCCTTCTGGGAGACCTCATTCTCCATCAGGTTTCCACCATACAGTGATGCTGGGGGGGTTTTGGAGGGCCTGGAGGGACTCTTGGAAGGGCGCCTGGAGACCATGGGCGACAGGTAAGCATTGGCGTCATACTTCCAGGAGGGAGGCAGGGACATGGTGGGTGATGGGGACCGCAGCAGCTCAGGTTGGGGGGGAGCCTCGATGATGAACTTCTCCATCCTTGACTGCCGGCGGGCAAAGAGCTCGGCCCCCTTCCCTCTCGCTTCACTGAGGTGGTGGCTGGGCTGCGGCTTTGGCTTGGGCTGGATGGTGGGAGACTTGAGGCAGGAGGACCACGCTGGAGCATCGTCGGCTGGCGGGAGGTGCTGCCCACCCCTGGGTGCACTTTTGGGGACAAAGTTGGCGGCTTCAGCCCCGAGGGCAAAGGGCTCGTCCTCAGCACCAGGCTCCCCCTGCTCCTTCTGCTTCTTCCTGCTGTCGGCGCTCTGGACTAGGTCCAGCAGATCAGGGTTGGGGCCCAGCTTCGGCTTCTCGACGAAGGTGAACATGGACTTTTTACCGGCTCTCCGAGCGGCCGACTCCTCCAGGATCCCTGTTTTGGGCAGGGGGTTTGGTCCGGTCACCCCACAGCCCAGGGAGGCACCTGGCAGCATCTTCTGCTCCCGGGGAGGGTACAGGGCCGAGTAGGCGGGGGGCGAGCGGACACGAGTGAGCGGCGGAGGGCTGCTCAGGGTCTCCGCGTAGGTGGGTGGCGGGGGCAGCTCGGTGGCAGGGGGTTCCTCCGTGGGCTGGCCGCTGGCGGGGGACGCCTGGGTGCCGAAGGGTCTGGCCGTCCGGTTCTTCACAGGCTTGGGCTTGGCCAGGGTGAGATGGACCTCATAGTACTGCCGGCCCTGCGCCCCGTTCTGCTGCCGGCTGGCCGAGGGTGTCGTCTCCGCTGGCACACTGGGCACCTCACCGTTCTTCCCCTCCTTGGGGCTCTGTGGCCGGGCAAGAGCCACCGTGCTTGGCCCCGCAGGGGCTCCCACATCCCCGAGCCCCCCTGCCCCGCTCTCCATCCCCCTGGCCGCCCGCTCCTGCACACCGTTGGCGGTGGCCGATGCCATGTTCTCCTTCAGGTAGACGCTAAGCGGGACCTGCTGGGCTTCAGCCGGCGGTTCCTGGCATGGGGAGTCATTCGCCCGCAGCCCCTCTCCTGGGGCGGTGGGCTGGCCAGGCTCTGGCTTCATCCCCTGCCCCTCACCCTCCTCCATGGCCGCTTGCAGAGGCCGGGGCGCAGGGCTCAGCTCCAGCCCCCCGCCATGCCCGGCCTCGGCCAGCCCGTCGACGCGCTGCTTGCGGTGGTTGAAGAGCAGGACGCCCTTGGAGCTGGGGCTGGGCGCCGTGGTGAGCTGCGCCGCGATCCTCCGGCTCCGCGCCTTCGCCTCCTTCAGCTCCTTCTCAGAGAGGCTGGCGCTGCGGGAGAGACCTGGGCAGAGGGGAGAGAGGGGGTTAGGGGGGGGGCTCAGCAGGGATGTAGGATCTCAGCCCTCCCTGTCCAGGACCAGCAGCCCTTCCTCCAGGTATCCCTTGGCATCACAACCCCTTCCCGGCAGCTGGGGTAAGGCAGGAGGGATGCCCTGGGGCTGGGGTGCACAGGGGGGATATTGCAGTCCCAGGGGTGATGGGGACCCAGCGCAGCCCCTGCCTAGATAGTGAGCTGCAGTAATACAATCCCCCCCCCCCAAAGCTGGAGGGACAGACAGCAAAGCCCCAGGGGACACCCAGGGGCATTCAGTCCCTTTCCTCCCATCCTGACCCATATTTCGGCTGGGGTCTGCGTGCCCACTGCGGTGACTGTATGGGAAAGGAATTTCTCCAAGGGCTCTGGAAGGTCTCAGGTTGCAGCTCACATGGTTTTGGCCCCCAGCTCGAAGAGACAGTGGGCAGGGAAGGGGCCAGCGTGTGTCCCCCGGCCCCTCACCCCTCACCCCGGCATGCTCAGCCCCAAGCAGGAAAGCAAACCCAGCGTCAGCAGGGAGATACCAGCCCGCCATAACCTCACGGCAAGGCCAGTGGCGAGCCCCATCTGGGGACTGATTTATGGAGCAACACGAGATGGCAGCAGCCGACAGAAGCTGTGCAGATCCTGACCTGCCAGACACAGATGCAGCCCGCAGCAAGGCACCCACCTCATGCCTTGGGAGCCTACACAAGTGCCGAAAGCTAAAAGCCTGGTGAAAGCCCCACGGCAAGCAGCCGGAGTTCCACTGGGCTTCTTATGTGCTGGCCAAAAGGTCAGGGCACCAGCCCTTCCCAAAAGCCAAAAGGATGTGGAGCTGCCGGGAACGCATTTTCCCAGGGTGAGCAATTTCCTACAAGCTCACCCTGAAGCGCCTGCGGGAAGGGCAGCGTCCCCAGCCCCGCTGAGGCCACAGCTCGGGGACAGACAGCAGTGCAGAGCATCAGCATCACCCCAGCACCCTCCAAAGGTGCAGTCCCCTCCCCAAAGTTGCTGCCGGGATGGCTGTGATGGGGTGTCCCTGCTCTGGCCCCAGCAGGCAGGTGGGTGGCCAGAGCCGCCCGCCCCGAGCCCCGCTCCCCCGGGCGCCACCAGCGCCTGCTCCCCTTCCCTTCCCATCCCTTCCCTTCTTCCCGTCCTTCATGTGTTTCTCATTTTCTTGCCTTCTGTGCCGCTTGGGAGCCTTCCAGGATATTTTCAGCAGTGGCTCAGCCTACTAGCGAGGGAAGGGATGAATGACTAAGCCAAATCCTTCCAGCGAGCCCACGGTGAAGCAGGAGGGCTGCTGCAAGCTAGGCATCTCCTCTTCCTCAGCCTTCATCCCTCCTGCCTCCCTCAGCACCCAGCAAGTCCCTGCCCTGGCCCCAGCACTGCCAAGGCTTGCAGGATGGCTCTACCTCCTCAGAGAGGCCAGAAAGGAGGAGGAGGAGGGTGGATGAAGCCTTCGGGCTGCCCAACAGGAGGGTTTTGGCTGGGCACAGAGGAGAGGAGGCAGAGATGCCAGTGGAAACTCTCTCCTGGAGACGAGGAGCCCATCCGCAGTGGCAACGCCGGCGGCCAACATCTCCCCCGGTTAGCGCCCAGCATTGTTTAACACCCCATTTCTATTTGCTTTGGCGGCGGCACAGAGCGAGGCTGCGGTTTCCTCCGGCCGGGCTGGCTGGAGGGCGGCCAGCACCACAGCTCCCACTCCACGGGGTCGCCCTCGCCGCCTTTATCTCTGAAACGGAGGAGAAATACAGCCAAGGAGCCATTGAGAAACAAGCCACAGGCTCCAGATGTCTGAATATCGTGCTCCAAACTGAGCATCCCTGCTTCCTCGGAGGCTGAGGCCGCCTAAGAAGCCGAGCTCTCGGCGGAGCCATTTCACAGCCTCTCGCTCTTGCTACTGCCTTTTAACAGCAACCGAGGGGCCCTGGGGGATCTCCTCTGTGCTGGAGGGATGACTCAGCTCTTGGCCAGCCCGTTCCTGCTTGGACTAGCCACCGGATACACTCCTGCATAGCCAGGACCAGCGCTGGGATTTGTCCCCTGGGACTTTGCCCCCAGGTATCCCCATCCCTTGCTGCTGCCCCAGGCACAGGCATCCCTCTGGGCCAGGGGGTGCTGCCAGGTGGGAGCCCCCCACCTCAAATCCCCTGCTTGGCATCTGCTCCCAGCATTGCCTTGCGGACCCCCATCCCCTACGCTCTTCCAGCAGCCCCTCTGCCCCTGCTCCCTGCCCATTCCCAGCCCCTCCCACCTGAGCCCGCTGGAAATGAATCCTTCAGGATACTAACGGGAATGTTGGGGGCAATAATTGCTCTCTACATCCAATGTTTATCATATGGATGGAGAGCACAGAAGCCTCCGGCTGGCCAGAGGAAATTGCAGAGAACAACCCCCTACACTGCCCTGCTTGTACAGCCACACACAGCCCAGCAGACAGACAAACGGACAGATGGACAAACGGACCCTGCAGCTCTGCAACCCTTCAGCCACTGTTATAAATGTGACTCGTCATCGCTTGACCGAGAGTGCCATACCATCCTCAGCCAAAGGACAGGGACCACCTCCTCTGCTCCAGCCTGAGCCACAGGGTGAGATTATCTGACCTGGTGAGAGCCTTTAGCCATCTGCCACAGTGGCCGGGGGGACACCGTCACCTGGGGTGGCTCCTGCACCCCTCGGTCCCCTCCCAGCTGCAGGGGACATCCCTTCACCCTTCCCTGCCATCCTCTGCCAGCTGGGGAGCCTCGGGTGGGCTTTGGCCGGGTGCTTCTCCTGGCCCCAGGCAGACGGGAGGGAGCTCAACATGCTGAAAATGTCCAGGTGCTGGGGAGGAGGAGGAGGAGCACGGGGACAAAGGCAGCCTGAGCAGTGTGGGGAGGAGGCAAAAGAAAATCTATGTGTGGCCGAGGGTGCCAGGGGCTCACGCAGCACTGGAAACCAGCTTCCGCTCATTAATGGGACTCCAATCCAAAATCTGAAGGGTGACGAGCTCTTCTCACACTCTTCCACTCTCCCTTCCTTCCTTCCTTCCTTCCCAAGCCACACACCGGCTCGTCACCATGCTGCCCTTTGGGAAGGAAACGTCTCCCTTTTCCAAATGTCCTGGCTTCTTCCAAGAACAATGAACCCAGCCCCGCCAGCCCTCTCCGCTGCTGCATCCCTGCGTTGGGGGGGTCCCCCGAGAGCCCCCAGCCCTGTGGTCCAGGGATGCTGGGGAAGGAGATGCTCCCTGTGTCCTGCAGGACCCCCCACGCACGTGAGCAGCCAGCCAATAGTCCCTGAGTGCTATTTCAGTGCAATGCACTTCAGCTCTGGCCAGAGGAGCCTATAGATCTCTATCTCTATATTTATATAGGCACTTGCTCTATAGGTTTCCTGTTGCTCCAGGGGTGACTTCCAGCAACATCCCCCAAGTGCAGGGCTTAACAGCTTCCTACCGAGCTGTCAGTCATTCTTCCCACAGCACGTACTGTGCTCTCTCCTCCAGAGTGAGGATGACGAGGGTGATGAAAGGCATTTATGTTGCTCGCCCCTTCTGGCCAGATGAGAAAAAAAAATTCCTTCCAGCTCAGCTTTCCGTGCAAAGGATGGGTCCCCCTGCACAGCGCTACTGCAGAGCGTCTGAAGTCCAGCCAGCAAAGGCTGGAGTCACCATCCAACCCCAAATGATGATGAAGGATGTATCAGACCCTGCTTGTGGCCCACCCTGCCCTGACAGGGACTCCAAGATCTAGAATGAGATGAGGATTTGACCCCAAATCTCAGGGAGAGGAGATACCCCAGGGCTCTCTGAGCTGACAGATTCAGTGGAAGTTGCCAGTCCTGACATGGCCAAGATGTCACAAGAAGAAAAACAGCAACTTGGAAGCTGTCACCTTGCAGGTACGGGTGGCTGCGAGCACCGGGCATGGTGGTGAGGAGTCCTCGTAGGGAGAAGCCAAGAGGTACCAGAATCCTGGTGAGATGCAACAGGCCATGGGAAATCTTGGACTCGGAGCTGGAAGGTGACGCCAAAATCTCTGATTTGGGCTCTAGCCTGCTCCTGGGTCGGACACTCAGCCATCCCAACGCCACAGCCCACCTTGGCCAGCTCACAGGAGGATGCTCGGGATGTCCCACCAGGCCACCCCCCAGCCCCAGGGCTGTCCGGGGCCAGGCAGAGCACAGAGCACAAACCCCAAATCCACCTTCACATGGCGCAGCAGTCACCATCCATGACTCGCAGGCGCTTTTCCCCCTTTCTGACCATTTCTTGGGCTGTGGCGACTCAACCCAAACAATGCCTTTTATTGGCAAAATCCCACCAGCAAAACCCAATATTAAACTGAGAGAAACCCCATCTGACCGGAGGGACACATGTCACTGCCGTGTCACTGCCCTGCCACGAACCCGAACACACATCTACAACTGGGCGGTGCTGGGGAAGGGGAATCCAGTGTTTTCACCCAAAAATTGAGGGCTTTGGACACCGAGGAAATGTAAGCAGGTTTTTTGGTAGTGAAGCCAACTGGCCTTTTGCCCCAACTACAGCTGTGCAGGATTTTTTACAATGCGCACTAACTAGCACACATTTAAGTCTGCGCTTCCCTCCAGCTCCCAGAGTTATCCCAAATAATCTGCTGCTAGGAAAACAAGGCGAGTAGCACAGATAGGCAGTCGAACTAGCTAGAAACATATATGATTCAAACATATGGATAAAAGTATGACAAATTTCTGCCTCATTCCCAGCTTCCAACCCCCTTATACCTCAGATATAAAACCTCCATGAAGTTTTTATCTGTGCTGGCCCTGCAGACCTGAAAAGCCTCAGCTCAAGCGGTGGGTGCCATGGGGGGAGCAAGCTCCCCTGCCTGGCAGGGCACACTGTGCTGGGCCTCCCCTCCCGGGCGCCTTTGCCAGTGACAAAATCTGGCACAGCGAGAAAATTCAATGTGCTTGCAAGTTTTCCCTGCGCTCTGTTAGCAAAGGCTTTGCTGGATTTGGAGCTGTTTGCCTCCCCACGCTCCTCCCTGCTTGCAGCCATGCCCCTGCCCTGGCCCAGCACCCAAATCCTGCTGAAAATCACCCCGCAGTCTCCCAGAATCAATCCCTGGGGCACCCATCTGTCACCCAGGCAGAGAAGGAGAAGGGACTGGGGGCATTTTGCTCTTTGATAGGTGCTGGCTGCCCCTGCCCCAGCCCTGCTTCCCCGTGGCATGCCAAGCCGGGGGGGTGCAGTGAGCAGCCCCAGCCCTGCATGCATCTGCACTGAAGAAGAGGCCGCTGCTACCACACAAGTGGAGGCAGTACCTTCCCTCAGCCGGTGACAATGAAGCTTTCAGCTTTGCAGAAGGAGGCTGGAGCTGGGCAGACCTCCTCCAGGCTGCCTGCCATCCATCTGCCCGGAGCGCATCAGAGCCAGCCCATCCCATGGCCGGGTACCACGGGCACCCCCGTCCTGCCTGGCAAGTGAGTCCCAGCCCCTCTATGCCCGCCTGGTGATCGGACTCTCTACTACACACCCCGGGCTGCTGAGGCACCAGGCTGGTGCCACAAGCCCAAGGCGCTGGGCTGGTAAGAGAAGGTCATTTGGCTCAGCTCTTCGCCGTCGGATGGATGGAGCGGGGAGGGGAGCGGGATGAAACGGGGCCTTCGCCTGCCCCTTGCACAACCCGTAAGGGATCCAGCCCGCTGGCTGCCAAGCTGGAGGGACAGACCTCGTGTCTCCGGCACGGGGTGGCACAGCCAGGGGAGATCACGTCCCCGCCGCGGGGGACAGGGGACATTGCCTGGCAAGATGATCTGCAGAGCTAGGAGGTGTGACACTGCCGAGCCCTGGGGGGGACCTCCACGTCCCCCCACATCTGTGCCTCCCACGCCCCGTGCCAGACCCTCGGGTGTGGACAGAGGGAACCGACACCCATCCAGCTAATTTATAAAGAGAGAACCCCCCCTCAGCTCTCGCCTCCCCCCACCCCGGGCTGTTCACAGCTCTACTCGCCTGCCCTTCACCCACCATCAGCCCCCCGTGCACCCCCGGACTTCCCGTGCACCCCCATCTCCCGGCACGCCGGGACATCCCCCTGATTCCAGCACCCCCCCCGTTACACCCCGGTCTGTGCTCCCGCCCCCGCTTCTTCACTGGCACCCCCCGGCCCCCTGCCCCGGCCCTCCCCCCCCCCCCCGCCCGCCTGCCCCAGCCCCGCAGCCCCTCCCGGGGGCAGCCGTCGCCTCCCCAGCCCCGGCCCTACCCGCGGTGCCGGTGCCGGTGCCGGTGCCGGTGCCGGTGCCGGTGCCGGTGCCGCCGCCGCCCCTCGCAGCCCGTCTGCACCGGGGAGGAGGCGGCGGGCAGGAAAGTTGCGGCAGCTCCGCCCTCGGAGCGGGCCCGGGGGGGGGCGGCGGGCGGGGGCCGGGACCGGGGGGGGTGGCGGGTCCCTCCGGCCCTGCCCCTGCCCGCCCCGACCGACCCGATGGGACGGAGCCCCCTCCCCGGAGGCACCGGCAGCCGCCCCGCCGCTTCCCGTCCCGGCGGGGTCTGCCCTGAGCCGGCTGCGGGGGTCAGAGCAGCCGGGGCGTCCCCTCACCCAGCCCGGGGCATCCCCTTATCCCCTCCTGGGGCATCCCCCCACCCAGCCCTGCGCATCCCCTCACCCAGCCCTGCGCATCCCCTCTCCCAGCCCTGCGCATCCCCCCACCCAGCCCTGAGCATCCCCTCACCCAGCCCTGCGCATCCCCTCACCCAGCCCTGCGCATCCCCCCACCCAGCCCTGAGCATCCCCTCACCCAGCCCTGCGCATCCCCCCACCCAGCCCTGCGCATCCCCCCACCCAGCCCTGAGCAGCCCCCTCACCCCCTTCCCCTCCTCCCATCACTGCTGGGGGGACCTGCAGCACCTTACCTGGCTGGGAAGCAGGGCCTCCCCTTGCTCCCAGTTTCCCCAGTGCCTAAAGAGTTGGGGGAAAAATCCAGCACCGATGTCACGGCCCTGGGGACCTGCTGGGAACAGCCCTCTGCCAGGGGTGGTCTGCTCCCAGTGATGGGGCTCCACAGCCCTGGGTGAGATGATTCTTGGGGGGCCAGCATCACCTCCCACCTCCCTCTCCCTGCTCCCGCTGGGGCTGCAGAGCCCTCGCCTGCTGCGGAGCTCCCCGGGACCGCGGCAAGTGGGACCAGCCTCACCCCCCTCCCGCGCCTGTCCACACCGCAGGATGAGCTCTTGGCCTTATTTTTTGCCTTTCTAATTTCCTTTCTTCCTGCCCCTCTTTGCGTTTTTGTGCTTTTCTGGTTTTTGAGGGAGTCTGGCGCTGGCTCGGCAGCCCCCAGGGAGCGAAACCTTCCGTTTATTTGCACACCAGACAGAGAAACCAGTCCTGCCTCCTGCATCTCCCAGCCGCTGCCTCTACCCGGGGCTCCTGCGCTCCCCAGCCTGCCCCAAGAGGTGCCAACCAGCCTGGGCTGCTGTGCCAGATATTTGGGAGCAGCCAGCCTGGCCTTGGGCTGCTGGATGGGGACCAAAGTGGCACTTGCCTGGCTGGGGCTGCACCGCTCAGGGGGGCACCCGCTTGGCTCCCAGCTCTCAGGGCCACCCCTGAACAATTTTGGATGAGGACGGCCGCACCCTTTTCTCTTGCAGGAGCTGCATGGGGTGGGGGTTTCCTGTACCCCCAGACAGCTAAGGAAAAGGAGAGCAAACCCCTGACACCTCCTGGGGATGCTCCTGCAAATACTCTGCTGCAGAGACAGCCCTGAGGCCACCTGCATGGGGACCTGCCCTTCCCTCCCTCCTTTGCCACCGTCTCTGCTCTGAACAAAACCTCTCCTTCGCAAACCTGCAGGGTTTTTGCAAGGTCCCAGCACTGCTGCCAGCGCTCAGGACCCTCAGTGACATCCTGCCCAGAGGCTCTGGAAAGTCTGATGGGTCTCGCAGGCAGTGGCTGGTGGTGATCTCACTTGGAGGGGGAGGAAATGGGACAAACTCTTTCCAACAAACCTGTTGAGTTACTTTAAAATTCCAGGCTGGCAGCAGAAGTGCTGGATGGTGGTGTGGGTTAGGAAAATGCTGAGCCTGGACAGTCAGGCCTGACCTTTCTCCGCCGCAGATCTGCCATCCCAGAGCAGAGTGAGAAATGGGAAGACTATTTGGGTCTGTCTGGTTTGTGTGCTGAGCCCTGAAACACGACGCCTGTACAGCCGGGGGAGCTGCTGGGGCAGCAGTGAGCCAAGGAGTTTGGCTGAGGTTCCCAGCCCTCATCCCATCCAGGGAGCTGCTGGCTTCAGGAATGTCTGACACCCCAAAAAGGAGGGGGACAGATTCTGAACACCAGGTTCATGTCGAGCATCCCCAGCGAGTCCTGTCCCTCCCCATCCCGGGGGCTGCTTTGGGAAAACCAGGCTCTGAGCAGAGCGGCAGCATCCGATAACACCATCCCATGGGGACAGGGACACACCTGCCTCGGCGCCACATGGCAGCTGAGATAACAGCTGGGCAGGAGCAAAATAGAAAGAAGGGTGGAAGCGGGGATTAAAAATGGGTCCGATGCTTGTAAGACGATGGGTCTAATCCTGCAGGAGCATCTCCCCTGGGTGGGGAGGTCCACAGTGATCCCTAGATATGTGCCTGTATTTGTGTCACTGTGGCTGAAGGGACAGTCACAGAGGGTGGGAAACAGCTGTGAAGCAAGGCAATGACAGAGAGCATTGTAGGAACCAACCGGCCTGCAATAATGCGCTTAATTTTTAAATCAGGGGCTGAAAGAGAGGTGGCCCTAAGCCACCTAATGAATGCTTGGTCATGCCTGCCCTGACCAACTGGTGAGAGGTGCCCCAGTCCTAGGCAGCACCTCAGGATCTGGCCCTGATCACCCCCCTTTTGGCAGGGTCCTGCCGAGCCCCATGGCCAGGGTGAGGGCCAGGAAGCCCACCCCACTCACGGCCCTCTCGCTCAGGGTTCGGCTGAGCTCTTGGAGACTGCAGGAGCCTATCCGCTGCCTTCCCACCCCCCTCCTGAGAAAAGCCACAGATTCCTCCTTATTTTTAAGGCCAGAGCGATCATCTCAAGCTAAAAAAGTCCCAGCGGCTCGGCCGGGAGCCTGGGACCTCTAACCCAGCAGCGGTCCTGCCCTGGGAAGAGCCAGGCATTCCCATTGCCGGGCTGGGCAGTGGCAGCCCCAGCCCCAGGAGAACAGCAGCGTTTTTTGGGGTGGGGGACGGTGGCCAAAGGGGGTTTCTCTTACCCAGTTTCCTTGGTTCGCTGGCAGGGTTGATGAGGACCCGTTGGATCTTCACCAATTTCCACTCCCGGCTGGGATTGGCCATGGAGCTGGCTTCTGTGAGGGGCAGTACTGGGGCAGAGCCAGGACATTTTGGGGGGGCTGCAGGCTCAGATGTCAAGGCTAGGCTGCCGTCATCCAACAAGGGACCCAGCATGTCCCCATTGAGCCCCCTGGGCTCCCACTGGCAGTTCCCACTCGCCTTCCCTCCCAGCAGCCCCGTCCATCCCTCCTGCTCGACCATCTTGGAGGCAGGAGCATCCCGCAGCTGACCTCTGCCCCCTCTGCTCCCCCTCTCTTGCCAAGAGTCACTGTCCCCTTCAGTGTCCCCTTTGGCTGTCCCGCAGACACACGGGGTTTGCGCAGCTTCTCCGGGTGCGGGGCAGCCAGGCTGGGTTTGCAGGCAGGGCTGCCGGAGCCTTGCCTTCAGCATCTTTGCTACTTTCCGCAGGTGGCACCCCACGGCTTTTCAAACCCACTCCACATGGCCGGGGGGCTGGTTCCTCCCCAGCAGCATCCCTCAGAGCATGGGCAGCGTCCGAGAGGGAAGATGGGCAGTGCCGGACACGAGCCTTGCTTTACTCCTCTTGTAGGCAGAAGGACTAGGCGCGATGCCACGGGAGTAGGCAGCTTTCGGAGATCCAACTACAGGGATCTGCCTGGAGGACACACGTCACCAAGGAGGATTTTTCAGGGCTTCCTCTTGTCCAGGTGGGCGGAGGAGCAGCGTCTAAAGATCTGTGCAAAGGGAAGGGGAAGCGTTGAGGATGCCTGTGCAGGCACTGATTTCCCTTGGCTCCGGGCAGTGGAGCGATTCCCGGCATCCCCAGCCTGGGCTCCGGCCCCAGCACCGTTGCCCATCAGGAAGGACCCCCTGCGATGCAAACACTCCCTAACAGCTTATTTGGAAATGCCCCCCCGCCCCAGCAGCCCCCCCAGCACCACGCTCAACACCTCCTCACCCTCACCCATCCATCCTCACCCTGGGGGCAGCACCCAGGGCTGGAGCATCAAGCCCAGCTCCCTTTGCTTTTGCAGCCCAGACACCCCCATTTGTGGCCAGTGCCGGGGGGATGGTTGCTGCTCAGGAGGTGGGAGCGTTTGGGGAAGAAGCCCTTTCCCTGCAGATGGGGTTTGCTCAGGGTTAGCAGGAGCCCTGGCTCCCACCTCCATCCCACTGGAAAGCAAAATTCCCGGCATCCAGCTAACAAAGTTGTGTTTAACCATTGAGTGACTCACGCAGCGCCGGGGCAAGCACAGACAGACCCGCTTCCCTTCCGCCGAGCATAAATCCTGCTGAATGACGAACGCACGCACCGACACAGCCGAGAGGCGAGGTATCAGCTGGGAAAGGGGGATCTCATCGCTCCCTGGACAGGATACGGGTTACAGCATACAGGGAAATTCCTGTGCCATGAGTCCTCCGCAGCCGCTCAGCACAGTGTCGCCCGGCCCCACTCACTGCAGGGCTGGGTCCCACTGGACATCACTGCTGCCAGGAGACCCACAAAGCCCACAGCTCACGGACCAGGATGGATTTCCCAGCCTAACAGCCACCCGAGGAGGAGGAAGAGAGGTTTCTGCTCAACCCAAAACCCTCACCTGAATCATTGCAAGGTTTTTTAGTGAAATAAGAAAGCGCACCAGGTCAATGCTGCAAGTTGAGCTCAGGCAGGAATATACCCTGCAGCTTCATCTGGGGCTTACACAGCTTCTCTGCAAAACTTTTCCTGCCCTTAGCAAGGTTATTGTGGAAACTAAGGCAGCTTTGCAAACAGTCAGTGAAAGCTTTGCTGCCTAACAGGCGCTTGGGCATTTCCCAAACGCAAGGCTGCATTTTTTCGAGAATGCCCAAAGGAAATCTTCCGCCCTTTCTGAAATCCTTCCTTCTGCCTTACTCTGCTGCAATTATTCAACACGGATTTGCAAAGAGATCCTGGGGGAAAAATTTCAGTGTTTCTCTCTGAAAAAGGAATGTCACCCTGCTCTCTACGTAAGTCAGGGCCCCAGTAGTTGTGGGGAGCCACCCACATCTTTCCTTAGAAACACAGCAAGTTGTGAGAGCTTGAGGGTGCTGCCTTATCTCAAATGAGGACAAAGAGAAAGTTGCTGAAAATAGCCCCAGCCCAGCGTGGGTCAGCAGAGATCCTCTGGGAGCAGCTCTGTCATCTCCTGGCTCCCAGCCCCCTGCCCCATCCATATGGGGAAGGTTTCTTGGGCAGCAAGACTCCTGTCCATCCTACATCGGAGCTGCCTTGACAGTTAGCTGGGCGAACCCGTACCACCCTGAAAATCGTTTTCCAAAGCCGCCCCCTTCCATTTCGGGAGAGCTTTCTGTAGACAGGCACATCCCAAGGGATGGGCACCCACGATCCCAGAGCACCCTGGGCAAACCCCTCCTTGGTGAGACCTGATTGATGGTGTTCCCCGAGGACGCGCTACGGGGATGGGGCCACTCACTCTGCTGAAATATCGAGTCACACATCTGGTGCCTCGCTGGGGGCCAGGCTGAGCCCAGCACCTTGGTGAGGGAACGACGGCGGAGCTGCTGGCAGAGGAGCCACATTCACCCCAGAACACAACACAAACACCTGGGCTCTGCGAGCAGTGCAGGAAGGGAATATTTATGGGTGATGTGCATCTCTAGCAAGTGCTGCGGGGCTAACCCTGCCTGCTAGAAAACCAGCCGGGTAGGATGGGTATAATATGCCCGAGGTGCATCATTGCAGCAGCGAAGAGGAGCAGCATCGCCAGCCACATCCACAAGATCAGGCTGAGATAACAACCTGTGCAGACCCCCCTCCTGCAAAATGAGGCTGTAAAGGGGTGTAAGGGCCATTTCAGGGACCATTTCAGGGGCACAGCACCAATCTGGGGAGCAAGGGATGCGCCATTCGGGCACTAGTGTCCCAGCTCACAGCTCCAGCGAGCCGCTGCCCAGCCGTGCCCTCCCTGAGGGCAGCACCTCATGCTCCCTGGCAGGAGCAAGTCCCTACGAGAAGCTGCAAAATGGTGCCAGTGAAGGGAATAATAATAATAAAAAAAAATCTTTCAATTCATAAAGTGCTGAAATCTGGCAGCAGGGAGACCTTTTGCTCGGCTATCTTTCCCTGCCCACTCGCTGGCGGGTGATGCACAGCGCCTCCCCCCCCCCCCCGCCTGCCTTTCTCACACCCTGCCCGCCCCCCCCCCCCCCCCCCCCCATTGAAAAAAGGAAAACTAAAGTTAACTTTCCACCTCCCACACAAATATTTTTGGCAGGCATTGCTGGTATTCAGGCTGCTAAGCCTGAGGGAGTCGGGGCCTGCAGAAAGTCTTCATCTCCATCTGCTCCCGGCACCCGCCCGGGGGACCCAGGGGACCGTGGTGGCATGGGCTGCCCCTGTCCCAGCCACAGCACAGGGGCAGGAGGTGGCGCAGCTGGAAAAAAAATGGGGTGCACCCCCAGGACATCCATGGGGACTGCGGGTGGCCCGGCCACAGGCATGCCATAGAATGGAGGTCGGATTTACACCCAAGCCTGGTCTCCGTCCCCAGTTTCCCATGTTGTCCTCAGCCACGTCGCTGCCCAACACTTGGTTTTCATCTTCATTAAACAAGTCGGGACAGGGAGACGGGAAGGGGTGCGAAAGCTGTCCCCAGCACAGCGGGGGCTCTCGGGTTTCCCCGAGGTCAGGCAGTGGGTCGTTGTCACTCAGGCAGGACCCTGCTGTCCAGACTTGCAGTCCCCAGCTCTGGTCACAAGATCGGCACCGTCCCTTTCCAAAATAGCCCGGCCGCAACGTATACATCTGGGGGTCTTTGCACCTTTCCCATGCCAGCAGCTGAATGTCCCCTTGGGGGAGCTGGGCACCTTCCCCACCCCCGTGACACCTTCTTCCCCCAGGGCATCTTCCCCTGTGACACTGCACTGGGCAAGGAGCCTGGGTCAGCTGCATCCCCAGAGGGCAACTGCGCGTCCCTGGGGGGGGGCCCTGTGTTTCTTTAAAGGATCGCTGCCTCTGCAGCTGATACGAGAGACGTCTTTGCGGTGTAGCTGTCACCCAGCGGCATTTGGAGCTGAGCCTGAGTCACCCTGTGCCCGGACACTCTCCCATCTGCTGCAATCCAATACCCCCCCGGCTCCCCCATTACCTGGCCGGGATGTGCTGCTGAGCCACGTGCTGTGGGGAGGCACAGCCAAGCTGCCTGCGGGGTGACCCCCAAGCTGCACAAGGACCCCACTGCTAAACCCCAAAGCTTTGCAGGGCTGGGGCCAGGTCGGTGTCACCCTGTGCCACTCCAACATCTTTTCATGGGAGACTGGGACTGCTTGCAGCTGGGAGGGGATGGCAACGGGAGGGACACGGCTGGGTTGTTCAGGATGGATGGAGAAAAACCACCTCTGCAGGGGCCAAGGGCTCTCTGCGAGGTGTCCAGCACCCAGAGAAAGGGTGCAAGGGAACTGGTATGTGTTGTGATTCCTTCCCTGGAAATCCCTGCGAGGATGAGAGAGGAGATGCCAGATCATCTCCCTTGGCACGACAGGTCCACGGCCTCACCAGGCCAGGCCAGACCCTGTCCCTGGAGCAAGCCGTGGGAGTGTGGGCAAGGATGGCCTCATCCTGGCTCCTGCAGGCAAGGCAGGGGCTGGCAGGCAGAGCAGCCGGCAGCGTGCTGGGGAAAAAACAAAAGCCTTTTGCAGCACTGATTTACTACCTTGACGGAAACCGGGATGGAAAAAAACAACATTCCTGAGTGCCTGTCCCCGTGCAACCCCCGTGGTCCTCAACGACCCAGCCTGCCTGTGGAACATGGGCTGCCGGTCCCGGCACGTGGATGCCCACACCGAGTTGTGCCTTCATCCCCTGCCCACAGCTGGTGGGCGGATGAGGCAGGAGAAACGGCTGGGGATGGCACGGGGGCTGCGGGGCACCAGAGGAATTGTCCTTATTCAGCAGCGAGCAGAGCAAGGGAAGAGGAGGACAGTGGCATCCCGGACAGCTGGACCATGTCCCCTCCCTCCTCCACCCCACGGTTTCAGTGGTTGCAGGGGCCACTCTGCATCCCTTTGCACTGCTGCATGGTTCCTCACGCAGGCCCTGGGCTTCTCCTGCCGTGTTCAGGGAGGAGAGGAGTCGCCTTGGGCAGCTCACCTCTCTGCAACCAGGCACCGAGGAGGCTGCGAGTGGGCTGGGGTGGAGGAGGGAGGGGCTGCGGAGGGGGGATGCAGGTTCCTTGGAGGGCAGCATGGTGCAGGCTGGGCTGGACTTGGGGTGAAATGCATTTTGTACCCTGGCACAGAGATCCCATATCAAGCCCCAGCGGGCTTTTGCACCCACTCCACTGCCCTGGTTCCCAGGGGTGTTTTTTGGGCGGGTTACAGCAAACCTGCTCCCTTCCTCCCACCATTCCAATGACCTCCCAGCCCCAGCCTGGGGTGGGTTCCAGCAAACCCAGATGCTCCACGGGGATTTCCATCCATCAAACATCAGCCTGTGCACAACAGGAGAGCAAGACTGACCTTGCTCAGCTCTCCTGGCTGGATTCAGAAGTCAGTCTACCCCATCATCACTAATAGGGCCAATCTGACCCAAGGGTCCCATCCAGACCATCCTGGGAGCTGCCCGCACCCCGGCTGCACGGCACCACGCTGGGCAGGGCAGGTCTCAGCCTGTCCTGCCCTTGGCTTATCTTGGACCTTGACTTCAGCTTCAGCTGCTGTGTCCCTGGGGGGTGAGGGCAGCCCCAGCCCAGCTGTCACAGCTGCCTCAAGCTCTTCTTGGTGCGGTTTTGGGGAGAAAAGCGCCCGGTTTGCCAAGCACTGAAGACCCCAGGTCCCACCGGCTGCAGCCCAGTACAAACCCAAGGTGCCACCGAGGTGGGTGGATGTTCCCAGGGAACCCTGGCCACCACTGCTCGGGGACACAGGGTGGTCAGCTGGAGCTCTGTCAGATCGCTGCAGGAAGCCAGGACTGAAAATGCAGCTCAGCCTTTTCAAAGCTCAAATGAAATGTAAAACCAAGGAGGTCTGAGAGAGGAGATGACCTTAAAGACCAAGCTCTGGGCTGGGGGCAGCCAGGGCAGGGAAGCCCCATCCTCACTGCTATAAACCTGCTCAGGGCTGAGTGATGAGCTGGGGGCTCCTTCCAGCCCTGGGACATGTGCAGATGAAGCAGCCAACTGGGGGGAAGGCAGGAAGGCTTACGTTGGTTGGGGTCCAGTGGTCTGGCTGGTAGCATTGCACAGCTGTCCCCACAGTTGGCACCTCCAGGGCTGCAGAGCAGCCCCAAACCACACCACAGCAAGCTGGCTTGGCGAGATGGGTACAGGCAGCTCCCAGCCCCCTGGCTCCGCACATCCCTGCCTGCCCCGGGCAGCTCATCTTTGTTATCCATCTCGCAGGAACGGCCCCGGCTGTGCAGCCACCGGCTCGCTGGCACAGCGGGTCCCACACCCAAACTTCCCCGCAGAGCTCCAGCAGCAGATGCCGGAGGGGGGGCTGGCACGACGGCCCCTTCACGCCTTTCCCAAGCCATACTGCCGAACATTTGCTGGGGAGTGGTGACGAATGTTTGCTAATTAAACAAAATCCCACTCCTGCAGGAGAGCATGGTGGGGATGGGGTCACCCCTGGCTGTCAGGGTGCCTATTGTTAGTTGTGTCAAAAACCTGCCTGGTTGAGGAGGGCAGGGCAGCCTCCTGCAGCGGGATTAGGGTTTATCCTGCAGAGGGGTTGGGGCTCATCCCGCAGCCACATGGGCCCTAGGGAGCTCAGACTCAGCAGACATGGAACACGACTCATTAACTATGCAGAAAAACACACAGGGGCTTGAAAAGCCAGTTTAAGCAACCTCTGTGCATTCGGGTCCACCTGAGCTCGGATGACTGACAGCAGGAGCATCTCAGCCCCCCGGGGTCCAGGGGCTGCCGAGCTTCCCAGACCATCCCCGGGGGCTGGCACAGCGTGAGCCTGATTTCACAGCTGTGTTTGCCACTGTCACACTCCCCCCCAGCTTCTCCCGAGCAGACAAACAAGGGGCCACGACCCGGGGCTGCCGGGATCATGGCTTGCGACCTGCCCACGTGTAGATGCAAGGTCAAAAGCAGAGCCGGCCACTTGGGTGATGTTTGCTGAACACCGTCAGCCCCGTCCTCCCCACTGTGACACCCCCCACCAGGCATCCCTGAAGCCCTAAAGCCTGGGGGAGGTGGATGGGGAACAGGACCGTGCTGCTAAGGGAGGGGGAGCTGCTCCCTGCCAGCTCCCACACCCACAGCTCTGGCCAGTCCCTCGGAACCCAGCTGTGATCCCAAAGATTCAGGATGGGACCTGAGAGGAGAGAAGGATACACACAGCCTGGGGACCACCACAACAAGGATCAAGGATATTTTAGCAGCACAGTGAGGAGAACAGGGACTGAGTGCACCCGAGCACAGGGTCTGGCCCCTCCGAGCCCCACGGGCAGCGCTTGGGTCGGTTCATGGGAAACAAAGAGCATCCCGGGGATGGGGGTGTTTTCTTTCCAGCCCAGGAAAGAAGCCAAACCCCAGCACATGCCCGTTCCCAGGCCTTGGCTCCAGCGGCACGGCGGGCTGGTGGCCTTGGGACATGAGGTTTGCTCCCATCCGGCTCGCCCAAGGCTGCGAGCCCGGCCAGGACGGGCAGGGTGGGAGCAGGCGAGGTTGAGCTCAGCCCTGTCACTCGGCTGGGCTCTGGGGGTCCCCGGGGCCAGGGCACGGCCACCAGCCATCGCTACTCAGAGCGGTCCCCATGCGATTCGTAAGGCAGGGGGAAAACGGGCTGAAGGTGGAAGAAGAAGGGTGCGACTGGGAAGAGTTTTAGGATGGGGCTGTGAATGCGTGAGGGACAGAAGCAGCATGTGTGTGTGTGTGTGTGTGCGTGTGTGTGTGTGTGCAGCATGCTCAGCAGTCTGGCTCTCGGTCTGGCAAAAGTGCTTGTGCAGTAGGAATAAACATGCCGAGGACACATTCAAGCCAGTGCAAACAGCCCCTGACCGACCCGCTCTCTCCCAATGCTGTTTTCTTTCTCCGCTTTTCCTCTCTTCTCTTAACCCCTTCGGGACCCCGGGGGACCAGCGCCGGCAGCCCTGGGAGCTGCTGGAGCCAAACCCCATGGACCCCACCAGGCCATGAGGAGTGTCTGTCCCTGCAAGGTGCCTGATGGGGTGCCTGGGTCCCCCCAGGGCACAGGGCTGTGTCCCCGGGCTGTCTCTGCTGCCACCAAGCCCCCTGCCCAGCACTGCTCTCCATTTTCTTCCCCACCTCATCTTTCCCCCTCCAGCACAGTCCCACAGCAGCTCATCCTCTCCCCAGCAGCGCCAGGGTGTCCTGGGGAAAAGGGCTGCTCCCCGCTCCGAATCCCCATCCCCATCCCCTGGATGCTGCCAGGGAGGCACCCACCCCAGGCAGGACCAAGGAGCCAAGACAGCCCCTGTCGTGGGGAAAACATTCCAGGGGTCTCGGGGAAGCCCACCTCCACCCTTCGCTCTGCCCATAAACCCCCCCATCCTGGAGTTTGCCGATGTCCGTGCTGGAGGAGGGTGTCCTGTGACACCGCTCTGTCCCCGGCCAGCATCCCGCTGGGATGGCCACGGAGCCCTGGGCAACTCCAGTAAGCCCAGGGATGCTCGTACTCGCCACGCTCACCTCTTTCCCCTTCCCCTTCCTCCTGTGGGGAAGAAAAGCTCCCTGCTGTCCATGTGCTCCAGCTGAGCCCGGGCTGGGGAGGGGGGGTGTCAAGACCACAGTCCCCCCACCATGCCTGGACCCCGGGGTCCCGGCTGGCAGCTGGGGACTGGCAGCGCCCACGTCTCCTCGCCTGCTCTCCTTCAGCCGCGCCGCGCAGGGCAGGGTGAGCAGGGGGGAGAGGGGCGGGAGGAGGGGTGTGGGGAAATGAAACTTTAATAGCACAGAGCCCCTTTTGTTTCCCAGCATATGGGATATTTCATACATGCTGAAGGCATTAACCACCTATATGCTTCAAGCGCTCGCAGCGGCTGGGAGCATGGCCCCATGCTTGGCTCTGGGGCACGGTGTCTGTCCCGGGGGGCTGGAGGCGGCAGCAAGCGGCCCCTCTGCCCTGGCACCCCTCCCTGCAAGGAGGGGAACCCTTAACTGCAGCTTGGAAAACCATCCGGCTTCACCAGGATCACCCCCCTGCATGATTTTGTCCCTCCAAAAGAGCAGACAACCCCCCTGAACTCAAGGCCAGGAAGGGGATGTCCCTGGTTTTGGGACATACTGTGTGTCCCCACCATGAAGTGGGGGGAACCAGCCCCACCATCCTGGGAGGTCTGAGACCCCAAACAGCCCTCTTGTCCCGGAGACAGGGCAAAGCCACGTGGTCCTGAGGAGCTGTGTCTAACAGTGGTAGAGAGGGGCTGGAGGAGGCTGGCATCATGTCCCCTCCCTGCTCGCACCCCGAGGACACAAGAACATCCCCAAGGGCATCGAGCAGGCGAGGTGCTGGTGGGGAGGGCTGGAAAATATCTGTGATGGATAGCCTCACATTGTTCACTGGTTTCCCCCCCTCCTTCTCCTTCTGTGGCACCTGGGGACAGACAATGGTGCCTGTAAAATGGGGTGACACCACTTTTGCAAGTGGGGAAGGGACACCTCCGGGTTCCTAGCACAAAGGGTGGCTGGCACTGCTCCCTGCAGATCCCACTGGCCACCTCAACATGGGACAGGGGCATCCAGGGTCCCCGACGTTGCATCTCTCCCTTAGTCCCACAGAAGAGATGGTGGCTTCAACCTTCTGGGCAGGAGAGGACATCAGCTGGTGACAAACCTCCAAGCAGGATTTGAGACGGAGGTGACCATCAATGTACTTTGTTTCCCCAAATTGAGTGGACCCCTCAGCACCGGGGCTCTTCAGACAAACCCACCCCCTGTCCTGGCACCCACAGGGGCTCCCAAAGTGGGTTGCCTTTCCCCAGCCCTCTTGTTTTCAGATGGCTGGGGAGGGAAGGCATCAGCCCAGTTCAGCCGGGGTGAAGGGATGTACTGTCCATCCCACGGGGCCTCAGCTCAGGCTGTCGCCGAGTCCCCAGCCCCGCGTTACGCAGGGTGCCCGGTAAATCAGTACTTTGTCCAGTGTTTATCCAGTCACAGTCTAATTTGAAATAAAAAACGCAGCCAGTAAAAGGCCTTTATAGCTCTTCAGAGCTCGTAAACCTGCAGTGCCGGCGGACGGGGGCCAGCTGATTGGGGGCCGCTAGGAAAATTTATTGCAGATTTTGGTAAGTTAAACATTACAGCTCTGTGAGCCCCGGGACTGGTTTGCTGAGCAGCTCCCAGCAGCAGGGACGGAACAAGGGATGCTTTATTGGGGGAGGGAAGGGAAAGGCTTGCGGGTCTCACCCAGATCCACAGTTAGCATCAACCCAGTTTTAGACTGGCTCATTTTTAAGGCGAGGCAAGCTTTGCACAGCCTGGATCCATCCTTGTGCCAGGGCTTCTGGACATGAGGCTGCATCGCCCTGGGATGCAGGCAGCCCTCAGGAGCATCCCTGGGGCGATGGTGAGCGGGACTGTGCCAGCGCCTCCTCATGCCATGGCCCTCGGCTCCGCGGGCGACCTCACAGCGAGCTCTGCACAGGGCAGGAAGAGCCAGGACGGGGCGGCCGAGCTTGTCGTGGGAGTCAGGAGAATTTGGAGAGAATGAGAGGAAGTGGCTGGGGTGGGGAGCATGTGAGGGAAGGCGGGTAGCGGGAGGGAAGGCATTTTTTCCTTGCCAGTGTCTTGGCTGCTTCGGTGTGAACTGCTATAAATTTGTTCCTTATCTCTCAGGCCATTTAATGTTTTCATGAAAAGAAAATAGTCTGCAGGAGAAAAAAATTGCTGATAAAATACCCCTTTGGCGTTAGGAGGAATGTTAAATGTCTCTAATCAGCGGGGTCTGGGGCTTGGGGCACTCCCGGGGCTGGCAGGGAGTTGGGAATTTGTGGAGATGGAGCAGTGCCTGGAGCAGGCTGGGCCAGCACCCTCCGAGGGGGTGCTGTCAGCATCCGCACCCCTGGGTGCCCCTGGCACTGCAAGAAGAGACGGGGAGAGCTGCATGGGGGATGCGGTGGCCAGTGTGGGATAGCTGGGACAGCTCCAGCCACATCACCCTGCATGCTCCAACACCTCACTGGGGATGTACTTCCAGAAAGGATAAAAAGTGGGAATCCGGGGCATAAATTCCGTGGGAATAGGGATATGGATCCAAATCCTTCTTGGCTGCTGCTCAGGGACAAGCAGGACAGGCAGGGGCATGGGCTGCGCCAGGGACCCACACGTGGCTTAGCGCCTCGGCCACCCCCAGCCCTTTACCTGTGGGGATGCCAGGATGGAACCCCAAAAGCCCCACACAGCTGGAAGCATCCTCCCCCAGGAGAGCTGGCCCATGGACAAGCTGCTCTTTTGATTTACAGATGTAAAAGAGAATCCTGCAGGAGCTTCCCACCATACAACCGTGTTGTCATGCCAGGTTGAGCGCGATGGAGCAAATCACCCGTGGAGCATCCCCCCTGCCCCTGTGCTAACCATCCCCTCGCTCCCGCTGAGGACTGGGATGCAGAGCTGGGGGCATGAGCTTGTGGTCCCTGGGTGCGAGCATCCCTCACTGCAGGATCAGGCACTGTTTGGTTGCACTCCTGTAACATCTGAGCGCTGAGCTATGTCCATGAGGTTTCTTCCTTCCTCCAAACACCGGGAGATGTGACTGCCATCACCCCACATGCTGGCAAATCCCCAGCCAGGAGCATCCCCCCAGCGCTGCTCCCCAAAAGCCAGCCCTGCCTGGGGCTGGCAGAGCCACAGCACGGGGATGTGTGAGCCTCTGAGGCACAGTTTCACGCCCAGGCTGAAAAACAAATAAGCAAGCAAAAAATGTGACTGCAAAGGGGATTTTTCAGGGTGGGAAGGAACGGTTAGTGCTGATTTTTTCACTTTTTTTTTTTTTTTCCCCCTTTGGTAACATTTCATTTCATATTCCAGATCAGAAAAGCCATTTAAAATGAAAAAATCAAACCCTTCTGTTTTAACACACTCCCCAGCCCAGCGTCCTCACACACCAACACACCCACATACCAGCTTTTCTCCCAAACGCAGCCCCAGTCCAGCTGAACCCCTTTCCAGGCAGAGTTTCTCCTTGTCCAGCCCCATATCTGGGCATCCCACCTCCCCTACCAGCCCTGCTCCCGACCTCATCCCGCCATCCACATCCCCTCTCCGCAGGCAAACACATTTTCTTGCACATCCATCACGTGGAAATAGGATGTGCGTTTCGGTGCCAAAACACGCACGGACGGCCGTGCCAGCAACGCCTGTACGGCTGCACAGAGCCGCTTGTGTTTTGGTGGGTCGCACAGTTGACTTTTGTGGGAAGGTTTTGGCCGTACCTGGCACAGTGGGGAGGGACCGGGACCTGGCACTTCCCATCGAGACCGTCCTGCCAAAATTGGTGTTGTGCCAGGCCTCTCGCTCTTTGCTTTAACACCTCTGTGCCCGCTCTCACCTTTCCATGGGGCATTTTTGTGCCTTTCAGAGCCAAAGAAAAATATTTTGCAAAGTTGGGGGCTGTTTGGCTTATGGGGGGGGACTGGCAGAACCGCTGGCATCGTAGTGGTATCCTGGGATGAGGACGGTGGCCATGCACTGGCCCCAGGCACCCAACACCCTCATGCCAATGGGTGTGGGCAACCTGGGGCTGGGGGCATGAGGGTCCCGAGGTCTCGCCTCTGCAAAGCTCCCGGTGGCAGCTCCCCAGGGGCTTCAGCGCAGCCCCACTGCCGCCGCTTTTCCTGCCCGCTGGAAAAAAGCCCCCGTCTTGCCGCCGTCTGCCTCTGACGCAGGCGGCTTCGTTTCCAGACGGGCTGCGCTCCCCCCCGAAGCCCGCGCTAAAAGAAAGCCCCTTTGTTCAGCTCGGCAAACAGGGCCCACGCCGCCAGCTGACCCCACTGCCCCACACCAACCTCCACCACCCGAAAACACAGTCCCCGCTGTCTCATGGGACAGGGTGCGCACGGGGCCGGGGACAGGGGGAGCCCCTGCCGCTGCCTCTCGGGTCAGGATGGGTGCCCGGGGACACCAGTATGGGTTGCCGAGGATGCACGGGTATGGAGGAGCTCTGCCCCACCAGGAGGGATGGACAGATGGATGGAGGGATGCTCTACAGCTAAATCTCTCATCTCGTGGTTGTTTGGGACAGGGAAGCCATCACTGGGAAATACCGGAGCCGCTGAGCTCGCCAGGGCAGGATGGGGAGCGGGGACGGCGCTGAACAAGCTGCTGCTAATGAGAAGCAGGCGGAGAGCCCAGCATCGCCTCCCCACTCCCCTCTCACCTCTCGGGGTCAGCTTGTATTTTCTTAAGCCCTGATTGCCGAGAAATTGGAGGCCTGTATGCCGGTGAGGTCTGGTTAGCTAACGGCTGGCACGGGGCAGAGAGACCTGACACTGCAGAGCTGGGTTAAACACTTCAAAGCAAAGGGAGCCCAACAGGATCTGCGTTTAAGGTTTGGAAAGGGTTGAGGGGGGGGACCCTGCCACTTTGTACGCAGGCTGAGTGGGGCACAGGACCCGTGGGATGCTGCCCGCCCCGATGCTGCTCCGGTGGGAGTATCCTGGGTGCACCAGGCTGGGAATGGCAGTAGCCCGTATGACAGAGCTCAGCTTGGCCCCGAATTGCACATGGGAGAAGAGGAACCCCGAGCTGCCGAGCCGGGGAGGAAACGACAGCAGAAAAATGCGATAAACAGCTGTAAAGCCCAGCCCTGGCTCTGCGCTGCTCCCGCCGTCGCGGGTC